CTGCTTGAACAGTCTCGTGTATGTCCACCAATTATTACTCTTTTTCTTAAAAAAGTGAAAGTCTATGGACTGTGACAAGAAATTGATTTGATATTCCATTTGTTCCCCAACAGGTTACCCCAGCCCAAGTTCGAGAAGCGGAGAAGAGTTTAAAATTAATGGAGGCAATGATTGAAGCCATGACACCAGGTCTCTTATTTTAACTGCTTTTATTGTGGCAATTTTGAAGGATAAAACTTGACCAAACATTTTTTTCTTGTTTTAAATTTATTTGATTAAGGTTGACCTAGCTTCTTTAACTATCATGTTGTATTGATACTCGACAAACGGGCCCTTCTTTTTTTTTCTCAAAATAAAAAAAGTAAGCAAAAAGTTGACGCCATATATACCTTTACCAGTACATACTCTATTATGTCTTGGTTTCTTTATAGATGATGAAGAGCAAAGCATCCCTGAAAAGAGATAAAGTTATACTTTTTTTCATTACCCTCTCACTCTCTCATTTTAAATTACCAACTATATTTGGACCATGTCTGTCTATGGTTATCTTGCTGGGTCCAGCTATGTAGAATCATACCATGTACTCTGCCTATCCATTGATGTTTGGTTTTGGTGTTGTACTAGCCAGATTATGCAACTAGGCACTTCTTTCTTTTGCCAAATGGTCCGAACCAGGGTAGCATGCCATAAATTTTTCTTGATGAGATTGTATCTACAACTTATTGTTGCTATATACATATTTAGGAATCAGCATTGACGATTTACCGTGCTTGTAGTAAACAACAAACAAGTTTTAATGGATATGTCTGTTGATTTGCTTCTTTCTCTTTTTTCTTTTCCTGTGAAATTGGTTTGTGTTAAACTTTTCTTGTTTTCTTGTTTATTTTCAGAGGAAAGGGAGAAGCCGGAGTTATTGGCTGAGTCTCCTGAAAGGAGGAAAAGAGTTGCTCAAGATTCTGGTAAAACAGAGCAGCAGGTATGGACTGCTGCTACTAGTAGGTTTTTAAAATTTTGACAACTTCTGAATGAGATATATTTTCTGGAATCAATAATAGGTGAGTCAACTTGTTGCTCAACTCTTCCAAATGCGTGTTCGCATGAAGAATTTGATGGGTATCATGGAGGGTGGGTCTATTCCAGCATTGAGCAATCTTGAGGATGCAATGAAAGCTGAACAAAAGGTGCCTTGTCTGCAACTCTGCATATGCAAACTTGTTCAGACAATGTCATACAACTATAAACTCGATTATGATTGATGGAATTCTAACTGTACACATAATGCCAATCCAATGGTTTTTGGGAAAGCTATATTCTGTAGTAATTGATGCTTTCATTTTTTCCCCCATATGTTAGGCTCCTCCTGGTTCTGCAAGAAGAAAGAGGAGATCAGCGTTGAGAAGGAAATTTGCAGACTCAGCATCAACAAGCCCAAGCCCTCGTGGTTTTGGTGCAAAGAACTAGGAACTCAAGTTAGAGGGACAGCAGGACTCTTCATTATCTGCTTACAGTGAAGTGAAAACAGAGATATAGGGTTTCCTAAGAGCTGCCGAAACTCGTTGCATTCTCATCGTGAGTACAAAACTATAGAGATAATCATCCTGCAAAATCGATGTAACACGAGAAGATGTACTTTGACTTGTTTGTTAATTGCTTATAAAGATCTAATGTGATCCATCTCGAACAAAACCATTTCTCATGGGAAATCAAAATTATGTTATCACGGTGTTTGAGATGAAAAAAGTTTCTATAATACAATGGTGGTTTGAAGCTAAAATTTGCCTTACAATTTGAGGTGGGGTTTCAGTTAACTTTTTTTTTATTTTTCGAGTAAATGTTCAATCATACTTTATTTTCAAACAAAAATAAAGAGAATTGAGAAAGGTGCCTATGATTCTCTCCTGCATGGCTCCATTAACGGTCACCAAACAAAATGGCTAACCTCCTCACAATTCCGACAAAGTATCTGGACAGTTGAGAACAAAAATAGAAAGTCGTGAACACCCATAAAAAGCTCAGGATTCAAGCTTGCGGGTTTCTGACACGTGTCTTTGAATATTTTCCATTGATGTTCTGAAATCCCAAGCCTTATTATCTCTTTTTTCTTTCTACTTTTTCCTCTTCTTTCCAACAAAAGACAGAGTACCTAGGAAAATGGAAGATGGAATTTCTGCAGCCTCTGTTGGAAAATTTCCACCTGCTGATGCTAATGGGGAGCTGAATCCCGGTGAAAACAAGGACTTTAAGGTCGACTCTTTGTCGAGTGAGATTGTTACTTCTCGGGAGACCAAGGTAAGTATATCTTATATTTAAATGAAAAGAAAAGAAAATGTATTTGTGGCTTTTTACAATCATGTCATATCAATGGAGATCTTTTAGATTTGACGGTGTCCATATTAAATTTATTTTAAGTATAAAAAGATCATTCAAAACTTCCCAAATCACTAAAATTTAGAAATCATTTTTTTATTAATGTTACTGTGTTAGTATAATTAATCTTTTATTTTATGCATCAAAATTGTTGCTAATTATACTTATATCGTACTACTTGCAAATGAAGGATCGCGCTGATTCACAAGAGAAAAAGGAAAAGAAGAATTCAATGTAGGCGCTGAAAACAGCAATTTTAGTTTCAGCTGTGGTGGTGGCTGTGGCAGCAGCAGCCTTTGCCATAACCAAGAAATTGAAAGAGAAATAATACCAAATATATGGCTGCAGCTAGCCAAAGTCAAAGAGTGTTCTTTTTTTTTTTCTCTGGAAAGTCAGAGTGTTAGCATAATAGCAATTCAATCCTTCTTTGTCTCACTTTTATTAATTTATTTTTGTAGTCTTTTTTTTTTTGGTAACTATCATGCATGCCCTTTGGGGCTTTCCTTGTTCCACTGTTTAAGTGATTGTCACTGTGGAAAGTAGTACTAAAACAGGATTTAGAGAACTTCCTTCGGTTACCAGTTACATTTGTTGATTAATTTAACACGAGAAGCTGCTTTTCACATTGAGCTTTTTGTTTTTGTATTAAAGGAACAAGACATCAACTATAATCTAGCAAGCTTGTTGAAACATATGCAAAAAGACAGCAGTCACATTCCTGGGTTTGGTGATCTGCATATATATGATCAGAATAAAATAATAGTTTAATTAATAAACTTATAAGTTTACTCATCTGAAATAATAGAAACAAAAGTTCACTTTGCTCACCTTCCATTACAAGCTAACAAACACTGCACCCATCAAAATAGTCAACTGATCAAAACCACAACCTCACCCAAAGGAGTTAAAACAACCTCAGCCACAAGCCAACCCAGAATATTTGACTTTACATACAGCAATCTCAGTCAAAACCAATCTACTCATACCTGAATATTTGACAGGATCATCCGCCATTGTCCTTGTCCTAGCAAGTTTGAACCTGATAGCCTCTGTAATTCCATGCAATAATTAATTCTCATCGAAACGAGGAATTAATAGTTACAAAGACTTGCTGTTTGCTGTAGAGAAACAAGGAATAGCTACTTTTCAGTCCCAAGTGAAGGACTTTTAATCTGGTTCAGCCTGTTGATAAGGACCAGCAGAACTGCTTCGGGTGAGTTATGCAGTTGATGCACCGCTTTTTTATCTATGAATCTAAAATTCTAACTGGTGAAATGGTTGTTACCAAAAAGTTGCCTTGAGGATTTCCCCTTGCTTGATGGCTTTACACGGCTTGGTTGCATTCTCCTTAGTGGAACGCATCCATCCCATCAATATATCCCTCTCAAACAACCCATCTTCATTTCATTTCAGCATCTTTTCATGAGGATCTCTAGGCCATTCCCTATGAACCCCATTTGAACTCTCAGAAAAGCAGCAAGAATTGACTACTTCTTTACCAAGTTCGGTAATACCTCTACTTTGAACTCCTGAAAGATGCTTGGTGTCAACTCATCAAGCTGTGTAATATTCCTGTTTTTGTTTGGTTTCTCGGCTTCCCTTGAGATTCCGATGATGACTGAGTTAAACTCCCGTAGAACTCCAAAACATAATCAAAATCGTCCATAAAATCTGGAAAGTAATCGACTAACATTATCTTCACACCGAACATTGTGATTTTTCCAGTGACATAATCGTGTAGGCATTTCAGCAATGCCAATAATCCTCAGAACTATTAACTTTTTTCACAGAACTCTAATGCTTGAACGAAACGACCCTTTGTTTTGTTTCTTGGAATAGATTCAGGGTTAGGTTTTTGACCGGAACTAGAACTTAACCTGATCTTTTTGTTGTAACCATGGATTTCTCCAACTCCCTCAAAACCGGACTTCTTCCTTTTGTTGCTGCTCTCTGCCGATTCCGTTGATCAACCACTTAAACCATTAGAGAACTTGAAAACATAAAGAAACTCGTCAAAAAAATCTTGGGTATTATCCTAGCAAATCTTCCACCAGTCAAACCGACAACAGAGGTTTTTGACACATTAGACATTGTGTTATAACATAAACACAACACAATCTCCAAAAATCAATTAGTTGCAATTTATTCCTTTCTTTTTGTGCCTTAATAGGTGCAGTGTGCAGTTTATAGTTTAGGCTAATTGTGCCTTGTTTTTGCGTTGCTGCAATATTGTCGTTAACCATACTGCAATGCCTTGTCCCTGAAGCAGAGTTTCTCACTGATTAGAGGTTAGATCCCGGCCTTCGGTGTGAAGAATCATTGTTTAGGCAAAATTATTCAAGTTTAAGCAGACAGTCTCCAGCGAGGATTGTAGCCCTCTACACAAATTCTCTTGAGCAATAAAGAGTTGGAAATTTTATAAAAGCTGAATTGAACAAGTAAATGGACAAGGCATGAATTTATCAGTCAAGCTCAAATGGATATCTAATTCTAATGCCATATCAATCATTGGATCAAAATCAGTTAAAATATAGTAGAGATTAATAGATCAAACAACCAATGTTTACAAGGAGGCAATTGAAACATCAGCAAGCAGAGGCCTAAAACCCACTTTAGAACCCCAGATTCCCAAAATGAGGGAAAAAATGGACAATAAATTCTTCGAGAAATCATTGTTACAGCTTGATGGAAATCTCAAATCCAAAATGAATCAAAGAGGGTAAATTCAACTATATATATCAACAACAAATGGGACATTGAATCAACCCATTTTCGTTGCACTCACCACACCTCACCTTCTTCTGTTCCCCGTCTAAAACTTTGCAGCTCCCATTACATTCCGTACACATCAGAAATCTCACCCCTGCACATCCTTCACATCCGGGAATCGCCCTGGGAATTCCATCAAACAAGGTTTCCAGTTTCCCTTCCTCTTCTAACTTCACAATCTCTTCAATTCCCCCAATCAACCTTCCTTTAACAAATACTAGCGGAACTTTCACCTCTTTTGTTCCCGTTAGCTTCCTTAACTCTTCCTTAAACCCCGAATCCATCGATATATCACGCTCAAACATTTGGATTTGGTAGGATTCGATAATGGATCTCACTGTGTTACATGCCTCAAAAGTCTTTCTGATCCCTCTCAACGTTGTAGTGTAAATCACAACTGCATTTTCTCCACCAGCAGGACATTTTTTCTCGAAAACTTGGAGAATAGACTTTGAGTCCTTAGATTTCTTTGATTTTCTAATTTCAGGTTCGGGCGAAATTATTCTCTTGATTTGTTCCTCTTCTTCAGACAACTCTTTCTCGTACAAAGCAACAATCTCTGGATCAAACAAGGGACTAAAATTCCTCCGTGAAGAAAACCCCGAATCACCACCTTCAAAGCCCGCAGTTCTTGTACTTTTCACCGGATAACTCAACTTCAAAACTGCCTTACACGAACTATCCTTAGAATTGTTCACTCTCAATATTGATTTCGGGCTAAATTCAGACTTCCCATTCCCATAACCAAGCCCATTAACTCTTCCCTTGTTCTCTTTCCCACCAAACTTCTTCACTTTCAACGGAGAACCAATCTGATTCAAGAACTTCAGCGGACTTCTCACATCTTTTTCGCCCACCCCTTTAACCAAAACACGCGATTTCGGGCTTCTTTTAATAAAGCCATCTTCTTCGAGATCTTCCATTAGCTCCCAGGCATTGATTACCTCTGGCTCTGGCTCTTCACGCGCAGGCGATCTGTGAACTCTCTTTGCCTCTGTAACACCAACTTCTTGTTGTTGTTCGAGATCATTGTCAAGTTTAAGGACCCCGTAAGTGCTTGACTTGAGAGAAACCACATGGTTGACGTTGTCGCCGCCATTGTTGAGAAGAATTTCTCGTTTGATCTCTTTCTTAACGAGTTTTGAAGAAACACAACCCATTTTTTCTGGGGAAGTTTTCCTTATTTCTTCTGTTTTGAAGTAAATAGAGAGAGAGAGAGAGAGAGGGGAGTTAACTACTTAAGATTTTGATTAGTAACCGTTGGCTGTCTGGGAACGGGCCCCAACGGTCGATTTTTTTTCGAATGTGGGATTGCGAGCTATCGTGGGAAGCCCCTGTAATTATTTTTGTTGTCCGTTTTCGCCTCTTAATTTTTTTTTAAATTTTTAATACTAATAGTTATTTTAGATTTAATTATTTTAAAATCGAATCCGATAGAATTTTATAAAAAATAAATTCTTTTAACATTTATTTTTTTATTTATAAATTTATAAATTTTGATTTTATTTAAAAAAAATTAAATTTTTTATTGCTTAAACCAATAATAACTTTTTGATATGCGAGTTATTTGCTTTTTAATTCATTTTGATTTTCTTTGAGGTTTTTTACACTTATATACTAATATCACCAATGTCCGACCATTTTTTCATACTTAATTCATATTTAAGATGTTAAGCAAACTTTTGATTACAAAATATTTTTAGAACAACATTGTCTTGGAACTTCTAAATAAAAATACTCATATTAAGAGTTTATCTTGGTTGGAGATAGAAAGAAATTTTTTTTATTAAAAACTCAAATAAAACCGTTTCAATTATATAATTTTATATTTATATCATTAATCTTAGTCAAAAAAATTTTAATATAATTCCAAGGTACTATATTAAATATAGAAAAAAACTTGTTAATTTAGTAATTAAAATTAATAATCATTTTTTTATTTTATAATTTAATCATTAGATTAATAAATTTTTTGTTTTTACTATTATTTTTCATCTTATTTATCAAGAAAACTTTATGTGAAATTTTGATCAATTTGATCTGAAATAAAAGAATAAAAGTTAAATTAATTCAAATAAAAATTGAAAGGCTAAAATGACCCCTTTTTTTATTTATATAGTTGAGGGCAAAAGTGTCCTTGTGCCAATGGAATAAGTGAGTATTGCCGTGGTTCAAATTGTCCAATTGGACATAATTGTGGACACAAAACGAGGCCCATGTCCAAAAATAGGCCAAACTTAGGTCCGAACTTTTAAGTATTACACATTGTTTTTTCCTAGAATTTTGTTGAAGTCCTAGAAGGGTCTGCTTGTTCCATTTCTCCACGGGACGAGGCCCACGACAATAATAAACCCCTAATAAAAAATATTTTAAAAATAGCTACTTCAAAATATGATTAAATAGTAATCAATTAATTAATTAATCGTGCTGTCAATAAAAAATATTTAATATTAATTAATTTCTAATAAAACAAAGTAGTAGGCCAGAAAATATCATGGGGTCCCCACTATTCCACCGTTCCAGAAAGCCTTTACCACTAGCCTTTCAAAAAAAAAAGAAAAAATTTTAGCATTACTTTTCAAAATCTCAAAAACATAATTAAAGTAAAATGAAATGCAATTCAATTTTAATGTTTTTTTTTTTTGTTAATAAGGTAAGAATTTTTTCAAGTTTTGTTTGTATTTATTTATTTTTTGAATGATTTTAAAAATATATTTTTTATATCAACTTGATGAATTTTAAATTATTACATTTATTTTTAATAAATTATTTTACTTTTTTTATACTTAAAATTTTATGATTTGAACGTTACTAAAATTAAAATTTAAATACTTTAGTAACTTCATTATCTTGCTTCTTTAGATTAATAAGATCTTTTATTTATACAAAAAAAATTTGACTTGTTAGCCCATAAACTATATTTTTCCTAAAAAGTTGGATCATCGAGAAGCTCATTTAAAGACGTGGCCCTTTGCCTTTTACATGGCGGCTTTGTTCGGGGGCGGCGGAGCCCATGCAAATAAAGAGCATAGAAAATTAGGAAGCTTCTTCTTCCTATGCAAATATTTTTAAATTATAATAAAATATTTAATATAATATTCAAATTTAAAGATTTTTTATGATATTTAATTTATAATTTATTAATTAAATAATATTTATTTATAAAATAATTGATTTTAAATAATGATATGTAGTGCATAAATAATTTTTTAAATATTATATTAATTAATAAAATTATAATTTATATTTTTTAAAATTTAAATATTATTTTACTATAATTCAATAATCATTCGTAATATTAACTCAAATAAATTAAAAGGGCTGACAAGGCAACTCTATTTAGATTCATAAAACTTTTGTCTTATTAATTAATCTTTCTCTTCGATGTAATCAAAATATTTATATTATGCCAACAGCTACATAATCTATTAATAAAGTATTGAATTATTAGTTATAATTACCAGAAATCAACAGTATCACATAAACAAAAATAATTGCATTGTAACCGTCGGGCTCCCTTAAAAAATATATCCAACATTTAAATATGAGTTATTCAAATAGAAAATTTCAAATTCTAAATATTGTTGAAATATATTTCTTTAATTACTATAGTCAAAATAAATTTTTTAGTCTCACTCTTGTTTACTTATATTATTTATGTACTTTTATTTTCATTGATAGCTATTAATGAAATTTAATTCATGAATTATGACTTTTCCTTATTGTTAAATATTAGACCATTGAAACTTGGGTTGAACTTGATGAAAGATTTTGAAGTTTAAAACGAAATTCAAAGAGGAATTTCATTTTATAATTGAAAATTAAAGAAAATTATAATGTATTATTGAAAGAAACTAAAAAAAAAAAAAAAAACCCCAAAATTGTGTCATTATATTAAAACATGGAAATATATAAAATAGATAAAATGAAAAATATATTTAGTATTTTACACCCAAATTATCAACTCATTGATTATTTGATAGTGAAATATGAAATTTTATTTACCTAAGAAAAAAGAAAGCAAAGAAATCATAATCACACAATTATCCAAAGTCACAAGTCCAACTCTAAGAACATAACGGGAAAAGTTGACCAACGCCTTCGCTGATTTTGCTTTAGTAAAAAAAAATCGATATTATATATATAAAAGTAAAAATTTACTTTTATTTATCATTCATTTGAATTAAAATAATAATTTTAAATATACATATATATATATATATATATATATATACACACAGATGCAGACATTGAAGCGATTAATGCAAGGAACTGGGATCCATGAATTTGCCGGACAATTGCTAGACATTCAACAAATTTCCCCCTATTTTCAGGGTTTTTGCCTAAAATTGGGAGGTCAAATTATTTTATCCCTTTTAAAAAATTGTCATCACCTAGGGATGAAGAATAACCATTCTCAAATTTAGGGATGATATCGGGTCAGATTCGAAACGGATTTTACTTATCCCGAATTTAATCTTACTTGATTTTTTTTAATATTCGAATCTGATCCGATATTATGTAAATCGTATTCAACTCGATTTGATCTGAAATTAATAAAATATTATTTTTTAAATATAAATATTTAAAATTATTATATATATATATATATATAATAATTAACTAATTAATTAATTTTTTATATAATATCGGATCGGATCGAGTTTTAGACATACCTGAACTTAATCCGACCTCGATTATTTTTTAACTATACCCGACTCGATCCGAAAATCGAAATTAAAAAAAAAATCTGATTCCATAAAATCAGGTCGAATCAAAATCCGTCGGAGACAGAGTTGATTATCGTCCCTACTCAAATTCCATATAAATAGATTTTTGGTTGATATTTAAAGGCATGGGCTACCTTGCTGTATGGAATGGGTACGCCTCTTCTTGTGACATCCAAATCAATCATTTTTTTTTTCTTAAAATTATCAAAAATTAAATACAAATCATTAAAAATAAAAATTAAGTTGTCTTCCCTTTTCGATCTGGGTCATACTCATACCTATCGAGCTCCATCTTTCCTCCAACCCCAACTATCACATTACCTAATCGAATCATGAACAGCTTAAAATAAATAAATTAATTAAAAGGATATCAAAAGGAACCCGGCCGCGGAAACTACACAGCACTAATGGATAAAACCTTGGAACCTAGCTAAAAAGTGAAAAACAAAATCTAATCAAACTAGTAATTTATTAATGAAAGTTTTATTTTTTTAAAATGATTATTGAAAAAAAAAAGTGACGATCCATTAATTTTATTTATAAAATTAAAAAAAATTATACTTTCAATATGTATGAAAAACAAACTAATGTAGAATCAATCGTTCTTAATCTCACCTTAATTAAATACATTGACAATATATATAGGTGTTTTAGTTAATATCATATATTAATTTCCTGTCATACGGATTGGTTTTGGATGTAAAGTTTGATTGTCACATTGGTTCAACGTAATTCATTTGGAACATTATTGTAAAACGAGAAAGAAGCAATTTTTTCTTAAAAAAAAAAAAATGTTCACTACCGTTCTTTTTGGATGATTATGGATGTCTAGAATAAGCTGAAACGTTGATAGGAATTATATATACATATAATTTGTCCACATTTACCCACATTCTTAATTAAAACAAAACATCAAGCAATCAAATACAGTACGAGTCTTGTTTTACGTCATGGGTGAAGTCTACTAGTAACTCCATTTGGCAAGAAAGAGATCTGTTGGGGTTTAAAAAAAAAAAAAAATCAAATTCCTTGACCATATTATTTATTCTGCAAGCTAAGTTTCTAACTAAATTGATCCGTTAGGTTCAATTCAATAACATATGGGCAGACCATATATATCAAATACATAATAACCTCTATATTATCACAGTATTGGATTAAAAATTAGATATTGACCGCAATTATTTTGGTTGTCTCAAAATTCTTTTTAGTGAAGTTTTCTTTAAATTATTATTAAAATTTAAATTCAACACATTCAATTTTGAAGTTAACTTTAATATTATTTTTTAAAGTAAAATCTTTGATTTTGACCACATATAAATACTATATTATCATATCTTTGGATTTGGTAGGTAAATTTATTAAATATGAATTTTTTAAAAAAATTTAAAAATAAGTAAATTATTCAATTTTTAGATCAAAATAATATGTGTCATATTTGATAGTTTAAGATAAATAATTATAAGTCGTGCATTCGAAATAATTTCAATAAATAGTAAACGATAAAATTCGAATACAATATTTCTTTGTTGAAAAAAATAATTTTAATTGATTAAACGAATCACTTATTAATATTAAATATAAATTTTAATTTCTAATAATGTTTGTCTTTATGATTTTTGAGTAATACTAAAGAAAAATATGTATATATGATTAATGATTGCACTTTTTTTTACTAAAAAAAAAAGAAGAAAAATGTGGGAAACCCATATTTCCTTGTTGATGCAAATAAATACTACAGTACAAAAACCAACGTTTTGTATTTTTTTTTTTTAAATTTTCTTTGAAATTCCATTTTATTTTAACTGAAATACTATTAATTAAAAAAAAAAGAAAAATTGTTTCCCCAAAATTAAAAACCAAAGAGAGAGAAGGCAAGCACCAGTCAACAACGTTGAAACGCTCCCTCCAAAAATCAATTTCACTCTTTCTCTCTCCATCAATTTTCCACAATCAAAACAGCTTCTTTCTTTTCTTTTTTATATAAATCTTATCAAATCCACCTCCTCTCTCAATCTTTCTCTCTTTCTCTCTCTTTTTAAGATTTAAAGAGGGGGATTTCTTTTTGTCCGTACAATGACACAGGGCAATTTAGAAACCCTTGTTTATGTCTACGCCGGCGACTCTTGCGACAACAAAATCGTCTATGAGGCTTTAGCAACCACCGAAGGCGACCCCGACGACCATCTCCACACGGAGGAGAAACATGGCCAGGAAGAAATCCCGCCGGATTTCCCGCCAGAGTCGTTTTGGTTATCCAAAGACGCAGAGCTTGACTGGTTCGATCGCAACGCTTTTTACGAACGGAAAGAGTCGCAGAAAGGAAACTCAGCTTCCAACTCCACAAATCTTAATCCTAATCTGAATTCAAAATCCAATTCTCTACGCTTTTCCTTGAGAAAATCTAAAGCTTCGATCATCGGATTACCTAAACCGCAGAAATCTTGCTTTGTCGAAACGAAGAACAGAAAGTGTACTAAGCCTGGAAATACTAGATTGTTTCCTAAACGGTCCGGTTCTGCTAAATCAGACCGGCCACTTGTTGAACCGTCCTCGCCTAAAGTTTCTTGCATGGGAAGAGTGAGATCGAAGCGAGACCGGAATCGCCGACTAAAAAAGAACCGCCAAAAATCTGTCGAAGTCGAAACTGTAAAAGAGAAAACGACAAGAAAAAGAACCGGTTTCTTTTCGAGTTTTCGTGCTATTTTTCGGTCCAATGGTAAAGGACGTGAATCAGAAGCTCTTACAGTAGCGCCGTTGCCACCAAAGAACAGCGATATTAGGTCTCGCTTGCCGCCAGATGATCGTGACGCAATATCGATAGAGCATGAAATTGCGGAGAGTGAAGCGGTTGCTGAGCCTGTCAGTTTAGGTGGAATGAAGCGGTTCGCGTCCGGTAGGAGATCGGAGCCGTTAATCTAAACCGTGTGGGAAGTGGTAGGCCATAGCTAAGGCGTGGCCGCGTGGTTTGGTCCGCGGTCGTGGTTGGGCAACTTGCGGGTCCCGCCTAATGTTTAAAATTTCCTTCTGGTGACGTGGCTGATGATTAACGGTTTGGGAAGGTAAAAAAATCCCAATTTTCCAATTTCCACGTCGTTTTCTTCTTTTTCTTTTTAAAATAATTTTGATTGGGTTTTACTTGATAAGGGTTTGTAAATATGAGTGGTTTTGGAGAGCACAGTTGTAAGTTTTGTTCTTATTTTAATAATAAAAATAAAAAAAATTTATAAGATTCAGATTACTTACTATTATTCTTTAAATATAAAGATTCATATACTATATCATGTTTATTTTATGTACGTTAAAGATGAATAAAACATAAAATTATCAGAGTTATAATTTATATCAATATTATAAATAAAATATAGTTTTAATTTTTGTCAAATTAATATATGATTTTTATTAAAATTTTAAATGTGTTACTTTCATGTTTTTTTTTTTTGTTATTATTTTCTTATTATAAAAACTATTAGATTTAAAATTTTCCATCATTTATAGCTAAGTTTAAATATATTTATCTTAGGAAAATGATCTAAAATATGAAATTGAAAAATTGTAAATTGATGAAAAGAGAGCATAAATTTAGGAAATTAATTAAAGCAACATTGATTAAACATAAAACAACTTTTTCTTTTAGGTGATGAAGCACTTTTGTTACGTGAAAAGGTGTCAAATAACAGCTAAAAAGATTACAAAAAAGCTTTGGGGTGATGTTGATGGGTGCTAATTTTAGAATGGAACTGCCTAGAGTTGGAGATTGCATCATCCAACCTGTCTGAAGATAGGGAAGGGTAAAAAATTCCCTTCATTGCCTTAACTGTTTAAATATTCATCCTTAACCCTAATTTTGAAGTGTTCACAATCACGAGTGTTGTTGGGTCTCGGTTAAGCTGTCTCTGTTTGGAAATTGTCGACAACTTGACTGCTAAGGTGGATGGTATTAGGTAAAATGGTTTAAAATCTTGACTGTTTCAGTGTCTTATTGTCTCATTTTCTTCACTTGTTTTTTAACTTTTGAAAATAACTACCTCACCTATCATCACATTTCATTTTTAATTATTAAATTTTAGTCTATTTTAGCTGCTTCAAGCCCCCAACATATTAAAGTCTTTGATACCCTGTAAGAATTTCATTTTGTAAAACTCAGTCAAGGTTAAACAAATTAAATCTTATTTTTTCGGGTGATATTTTTAGGCTAGTTTATTTATTGCTCCATCAATTCTAAGCTATGAATCATGTAACATATAGTTCTCTTACTTTTCTTTCCCTTACCCCATGTGTTTCTACAAGTTTGAGTAGTTGATGATTGAGACTGGAGCAGCTCTATTGTCTTACGTAAATCATATCACTAATAGGACAAAAGCTGGTGCCTGTTTTCAAGCTCAGAATTTCAGAAAAATTTAGTTTGGATGGTATTCTTTGTCTATCAGCCAATATAAAAGAGAAAATTCTGATGCAGGCTCAACAGTTTAGTAAAATATATTGATGTTGTTCTAAGTGCATGGAAAAAAGTTCATAGAGTACAAAAATACTTTCCCCCCACCCTTTTTAGAACCAATGATTAAAGTTTTTAGCCAATAAGCTCATCATACAGCTCAACCTTCCGACCATTCAATCGCTGACAAGGCCTTGCGTTTTTCTTGCAATTTGAGTTCACGGAAGCTTCCAGAGCGGCTATCTGCTCTTTCGAAATCGATCTCACCTGCAGATTTAGCAATTTTCAGTGTATCTCCAATCATAAATTTTGTATAGGAAAAATATACCTTTCCGAGGATGCTCCATGTGACATTCTCCGAGCAAGGAGGAGTGGTAAGAGAACCAGCATATCTGTAGTATTTGCGGCTACTTCTCTTCAATGGCTTGATATCCAAGGTACCAAGGGGAATTTCAGCTACTTCATCTGCTTTACATTTCTCCTTAGCCAAATTATTCAACCCATTCATAATCTGAAACCACAAAATTACAACATAGATTTATATATTTTTCCTTGAGGTTTGAAGCTTACAGCTAGACACTAATGAAGAACAGAATTAATTACCTTGGAGATAACTGGATCGGCATCCTCTTCTTGGTAGAGTAATGCTACAACTGCAACGCTGTTATCTGCTGCCCGGTGGACCAAATGAAGTTCAGCAGCAAATCTGTAGCAATGAAAGTGTCCCACTGGTAAGAAGGGTAAAACCAATAGAACAGAGTGTTGTACTGCTGTGGGAATTGGATCCTAACTGTTCACTTGTCCAGGCCTAAACAATTCATTCAAGTGGAAGTGGCCCAAATAGATTAAAATAAAAGTAGACACAGAGCTAAGGCCTTTCTTTGGGGTAAAGAGACTTTGAAAGTGAATCAGCCTCCACGACTCGAGGCCCTGAATAAAATTGGAACAACCCGATACATAATATTTCGCAGAGAGAAAGGGAGTGCATACTGTTCTCCATTAATATGGTGCTCAGATGGCAAATGCCAGTGCATTTGCCTGAGTGAGTAGGTTTTGCCATCAATCGTTACCTCTCCAGCATATTCATCAAAGCGCACCTGCAACCAGAATTCATCAAACCAGCAAGAAAAATGCTCAACTATTAGATTCATTTATAGCAATGCGAAATGAAAAAAAATTATTTATTGTTATAGTAAGTTTAGCAACCAACCCCAATATTGAAGCCATTGTTAACGAGGGTAGAATTTGCAGGTTTATAATTCCTGATTAAAGGTTTCAATAATTTGTTGTGAACAGTCTGATTCTTCTGAATGTTTATAGGAGATTGCTTGTTCCCTGATGAGCATGCTGCGAATGCTGGATCCAAACTTCCCCACTTGTCAGGGCCATTTTTGCCAGAATAAGCGAACTCAACCGCACCAAGCACTAATAATAAAAACCAAATATGAAAAACCAATAACTGAGTCGGAGAAAAACATTAGATAATTGCCAAATGACTTGGCAGCAAAACGTGATCATACCATCAGTAGCAGAAGCAACGCCAAGAAGCAAAGTAAGTGCGAAGACGAAGAAGATCTGAGGGGCCATTAATAACATGATGACAATCTTAAACTACACAGCCTTCACCCTATATTACCCTATGTTTTATTGCTCAACTTGTTGCTATGGTTCCGGTTGCCACCACAATATTGCTGTTATTTTTAGACAATTTCTCTTCTAAATATAGCAGATGTTTCTCGAGAGCTTTGGGGCACCTTGCATTTGTTTGTCTTTGTCTATTTATACAAGTGGGAATATATCCGAATGTCATGTTCTATATAAAAAAAAAAAAGGGTTACTGAAGTTAAACCTTAAATTATTACTTGGTTGAATCTTGTCTATTATCAACATTGCAGAGCTAAGCCTGCAAACATCGGTGTTTAGAGGTAGAATCCTTTAAATTATATAAAGGGAGAGAGAGACTATTTGGGATAAAAAGCAAAAATTAAAAAGGTAAAATATTTCCCTGGTTCAAAACAATCAATGCCCCATGGAATATTTTGGGATGCAGAATGATCAGATCAACTTTTCTTATTTTTTGTCTTCAAAAATGACATTAAAGAATTAGTATTTGTTTGGTCAGATGTTAAGCAGAAGATAGATTGAAACATATATATTAGGCCTTAAAAATGTTTGCCATATACTTTGGTAACAACAATTATATGATACATATAATTATATAGATTGAAACATGTATATTAGGCCTTAAAATGTTTGCCAAACACTTTGGTAACAACAATTATTTTATGGATTAAACACCATTTTTGGTCTCAGCATCTCAGCAGTGAGCAATAAGTAATTTTCTCCATTTCTAATGATGGCCTCCACTAGAAAGGTCAAGACAAAATGCTTTAAAGTGAGTACGGACACCCCCACCACAACATAGATCAGTCTCAGGGCATCAACAGTTGAACCTTGGAAAAGGAAGGATCAAAAACCAAGCCTAAAAAAAGGTAATATCGAATATGGTAAAGTTATGGGCCAAATTTAAAGAGGTATTGCATCAGTCAGTCACCCAAACTTTGCTTCATCTTTTGTTATTTGTTTCTGGAGATAGCCAGATGCTACCTGCCTCTGGTATATGCATGATTTAATTCCAAGTGGATGGAACACACCAATGGCCAACTTAGATTAAGACTTTTCTTTCTTTTTCTTTAATCTTTTAAATGAGAGCTTAGGGATAAGGTTTTGGTTAGTTTTGGTTTCTTTTAAAACCTTGACTAAGCTGATGATCAAGAAATGCTATAAGTAGAACCACAAACCTACTTACATGTAAAGGACTTGGTATGATTAGATATATCGAAGTCAATATGTGCTTAAAGGCGCAGGATCAGATTCCATTTCCAGGACCACGATGCATTATTATAAGAAGCTCCGTCGGCTCAATGAGAGGTGAGAGACAATGGTATGCTCATCAATGAACAAGTGACACTCGGAATGCCACAGATAATGGTGATGAGACTAGAAACTACATTATTTGTTGACAACTCTTTTCATCACAATTTTAAAGCAAAGATAAGGATTCTTCATTAAAGGTTAAGAGGTTAACATACGGATATTCTTTAGCCCCCACCATATGACGACCATGTGTAGAACATACTGTTACATTTTGATAGGAATTCTTTTGTTTATGGATCAACTGTTCCAACAGACCTTATATTGATATAGGAAGATCAATCTAGAGAATTTGTCCACCATATTCAGTGCCATATGGAAGCACCTTTTCATTAGAAAGAAAATAAATAATAAAAAATAGTTTTTTTTGGGTACAAGAAGGAGCAACACAGCTCGTGGGTCAAGCTTAAAATCTCTACCTAATTCCCACTTTACTCTTACAACTTTGAGCCAAGCCCAATTGACAGAAGGGTGACGTTAAAAAAAAAAAAAGGGAATATCTATAACAGAAGACCACAAGGAAAACCTACCTGGGAAGGTTTTGATTATTATTGAGCATATGTAGCTTTTAAGTATTCCACTATTTCTGCACTTTCAAACATTTGCACTCCAGTATTTGGGTCTTCTAAATAAGGTACCTGTCAACCATTTTTGTAGAAAACAAACACTCTCTTACCACTTGTGGCCAAATCATGCAGCAAGTAAGAATGAACTTTATAGATTTGGAATCTTGTTAAGAAAAGTACTAATATACCTGAAAATGTCCAGCTTTCTCATAGAGGATCTGCCGTTTTGGGCTGCCTCGAGCACAACTGATAGAAGAGAGAAGAAGAATTAGTAAAAATTGTCTCAGTACCATGTCTTGATGAACCACTTGAATGCATAAATGAAGATGTATAAAGGCACACTAATCAATCAAATCCTCACAAAAATGATGGAAATCTTTAATGATCATCATTCATACTGTGAACAGTTTTGACGCAAGGAAACCTAATATAAAACACATGCCTAATATATCTTACCTTATTCACAACTTTTTAGTACATATGCAAATATAAAGAGGTTTCTCAATTCTTGGCATAGACTTGTGTGAAACCATAACCATTAATCTGAAGGTCAATATTTGGCATTTGAATGCATGGACTTTTTTTTTAACCAAAGCATTAATTGAGCAAATGGGTCAAGCACCTAAACCCCCAACGTTATTAAAATTAGAGAGCGTATGTAAGGAAATATACTTGAATATTCATATAACATTAACATACAAGGAATGAGGATGCTTTAATAAAATTTAACTAATCAAGTAGAATGATAATTTTGACTTCACCTGCGTTGGATGTGTGGTAACTCTAGTTCCACCAGCACTTCTCGCACAATCTTACAGAATGGAGAACCCTAGAAGGGAAGATAAAATCATTTTAAGGTCAAAACTAGTACACTTATTCAAAGTATAGCAATTTTTTACATGTGTATTATTGGGAAATCATAGTTGACTGCTGAACATAAATATCTTCAAACATCAAGATCTTATAATACTATACTAACCTCATATGACCATATCTCAAGTGGCTTGGGAGGCAATTTTGATGGAATGTAAGAAGTTCCCTGCATAAAACACACGAGGATTTAGGGTGTCTTTAAAGCATTTTCCAGAAAGCAGTAAATTTATGTAGTAAAATTTAGAATAATTGCTTTGCCAAATAAGCATGTCAATGATGCATAAAAAGAGGGGAAAAAAAGGAGAATGAAAGAGTTTCTTCACAGATGTCTTCAGAATTTAATAAAATCAGAATTTCATATCTTTCCTACCCTTCCCATGCGGCCAATCATGGCGAAGCCTGCAGTCAATGTCTGCAATACAAGAGAATTTTAGGAATGTTTCATAGATAGCAAGAAAAACTATTATTCTCATAGAAAAAAAAAAGAACAATTATTATAAAAACAAACGCCAACCGTCAGTAGACCAAGTGATAGCATGAAAGGAACACTTCCATCACCTAAAACAAGAGAGAACAGCGTAGATGAATAGATGACTATAGCAAACTAATAGCAAACTAAGTTACTGATAAGAAACTAGATGTAAGTTGAAAATTTTGAGATATCTAAAAATTAAGACATGATTTCTTAGGTAGCTCTCAACCTAGAGGAGGTAGTAATTAAGACATTTGGACACAGGCATCTCTTAACCTAGAAAAAGTAAGGAAACCTCTAAAAGGACAATTGAGAAAACAGAAAGCAACAACATCACCATAAAAATGGAAGATTAAATGTATGTATCTAATGTTTATACATCACCAAATATAATCTGTAGATTAAAAAAACCAACAAAACAAAGAAAGATAACAATAGTATGTTGATGTAACTATATGTACCATATTTGGCAACCAGATACTTTATAATTTCATCTGATTCATACATAGCAACTCCTGTATTTGGATCCACCTGAAACCAAAAAAAAATGTTTAAGTTGAACTCACCTTTGACATCACTCTTTTTTAATATCAATTCAAGGGCTTTTATACAAACAAAAGCACAAATCTCAAGAACAAAACCAGGGGGGAAAATTAAGGGATAAGCAAGAAGCCGTGGATCAAAGGAAATAAATAATATCTAACCATGTAGGGGAACTGCTGCTTTCCACCCATCTGAGCAACTTTGGGACGGAAATTTGGACCATTTTTGGGGCAAGGATAAAACACAACATCAAGATCCAAAACTGCAACAATTTCCCTAACCTGTGTATGATTAAAATGTCAGTCTGAAATGTGAAGAAGTTCATGGACTATGATTTTAGTCATATGCCAGGGGAAAACATTGATTTCCTTATGGACCTTATGCATCATGCTTAGTGACTCTAGTTCCAATTAACGATTTATTAGGAAAATATTAGAAGTGTAACTCAATAGATATCCTCTTTAGGGAAGTATAACTATCACCAATTAGAACCACAAATGCTATGCAACAAGAGCTAAGTATTCATGCTTCTGATCCTCCTGCAATGTTAAGTGGATCCATTCAATCAAATTTCAGAGTAACACCTTATCCAGGAGTTACATTGAAGTTGATATTTCCACGAACAAGGCAGCGTGGTCATGTTTAGGTAGTGTAAGATAGTGCCCAATGGGACATTTGCTCCAGTACATTTATCTTCATAATGGTAGCAAAAACCCAATATGAATGCAATAGAAGCAGAAAAAGTGTTACTAGATGAGGATAATTTACTACCTTTCGACAAAATGGACAACTGGAGTTGCATGCAGTCCGCCATTATCCATAATTCAGCGGGAAAAAAGAAACGCACAGAGTCAGTCTTTCTTCATCAGAAATGAAACATGAAAAAATGCAGTGCAGAATAAAAGAGTAAAAAGGCTATACTCATTGAAGGACAATTAAAGTGGCAATTAGCACAAGCATTAAACAGGGGAAAGAAAGAAAAGAAAAGGAAATTTGAGTACCCTTCAAACTCATATATCTCAATAGGCTTCTCTGGACGAGGGCCTATCTTTGATGTCTCTTTCACCTTAGAGCCTGTAAAATACACTTATCCGATCAACATTCAATTGTGACATTTGACACTAAATAAAGACTCAACTACGAAATAAATGATTTGCTTACACTTTTTCACAGTAATCTAGACTTGCACAAGACCTTTGACACAATGATGCAGAGAAGTAAGGAAATGAAAAAACAATTGACCCCATACCTCCTAGTTCTAAACAATATTGGCCAGGTGGAATCTCGTTCTCAGAAACAACAGATGCAGAATAGCTGCCACAGTGCAAGAAGATACAAGATTATTAGAAGAAACCTACAAAGTCCAATGCCATTACCATGAACCATGAAGTGAAGTGCCACAAATACAGCCTATTCCCCTAATTATTAGGAATGTAGTAGGGGGCTTTCTTTCTTTAATTAGCCAGGCGGCCAGTCAGGTAGGACTAAGTACATTTTGCTAGTGGACATTGATTATCATTAACACAATTTCCAGAGGTGTATATTACCAAATATCCAGTTAAATGACTCAACTTAACTTTTATAAACCTCAATTTTATTGTATTCATGCTTTAATTTGTCATAGAATTCTCAAATCTATGTGCTGCCATTTACAAGTTCAATGCCACCATAGCTCCAGTACGAGATAATCAACAACTAATTTAAATTCATTCCACTAATTATCAATCCTTCAATTTTCCCATGACAAACAAGTAAGTCCAAAGAATCCCACCAAATAAAATAAACAAATAAAAGAAGAAAGGAAAACAAGTCTCCATACCCAGAAACAAAAACACCAGTTCCCCACCGAAAGAACAAGGCAAGAGCTGCCCCAAGGATATCCCAAACCTTATCTGGTCTAACCGCAAACCGCTTAGGCTCTGGCGGCTTGAAATTTGGAGGAGGAGCAAATGTTGTTACTGTTGAAGAAGAGGCAAAGCTTGGTTTTTGCTCTTCCTTGGTGCTTATAGAAGCAGAATTGGCTTGGGAATTGGAGGATTCTGAAGATGCTTTAATGGAAATGAAGGGTCTTGATTGTTTGCGCAGGGGAAATGGCGACAAAAGCGGGAGCTTGGGGATGTTAAGGACTCCCGCCATCGCTTGTGGTTGATTAAGGTTTTTCTTACGAGAGATTGGTGATAGAGAACGAGGGAGTTCCCGTTTTTGTCTTTTTGTTTTGTGCAGAGAGACAAAGAGTGGCTGTTGTGAAACTCTGTTGTTGGTACAAGACAAAGAGTATGACATGTAACGTAACACTGTTCTAATATCTGAAGCCATTCTTTTTTCCGTTGATTTGATTCTCGCGGAAGATTTTCTTTCCCCCAACCAATTTTATGACAACTAATAATAAATAGCGAATAATTAAGTAAAATTTAAGCTTAAATAATTAAGTTTTGAACCCTTTTAATCGATGACAACCAAATCAATTTGTGTCAAATGGTGAATATTTCAATTATTTTTCCCATTCTAATTGGACTATAAAAAATAAAGTTCCTATCTTAACTCAAATATGGAATATATATATATATATATATAATATATATATACATACATGAATCTCATTTTAATTTAATTAATTTATATAATTTTTAAAAAGAATTATTAAGTAAATCTAAGAATGTAATTTTTTATTATCAAATTATAATTTCTTTTTTTAAAAGATATGAAATATATAATTTTTACTCTTTTAGATTATACTTTAAAAAAAAAATGGATTAGGTTATATTCTTAACAAAAAAGAACAATGTAATGTAAATGCATGAGTTTAATCGAAGATCGTTGTAAAATAAGTAAGTTGAGTCTATATAATAAAATAGCAAAGTTTAAAGATTTTTTTTTGTTGTTTCAGTAAAAAAAATTTTGAAAGAAAAAATTAAAAGAAGATCACAAATTATTTAGATTCAATTTGCTCAATTAACAACGATAGTGTGCTTTGTTTCAACTAGTACTGAAACAGTTTTTTGGAATCAAAAGGAGAGTTTCAGTCTGAAACTATTACCGCAGCCATCACCAGCTATCGGGAATCACCCAAACATAGAGCAGGGAACTTGTTCGTCTCCCTTCAGTTTGACGTTTATATTAATTATTTTTAACAATCAAAATGGAAGAAAGAGATTGAAATTAATGAAAGTTAGCTTGAGAAGAAGATTCCTTGATTGATTCTCATGAGTATTATACGTACCAGTCCAGCTGTATAATAGCTGAAATTTTGTATAGCAACGTGGAGATATTGCAGATGATGGGATATTTTCGTCATGTGGAAATCGTAAAGCTTTAGATCGGTAAGACAAGTCCACGTGTCAGCTTTTTGTATCATACACGTGGCACTAAAAAAAATATATGGTAAGGTTGATTAAGGCTAAAATGGTTTCAGGAGATCTTCAGGGTCACTGAAATGAATTATTTTTTGGGTCAAGGATCACTGAAATGAATCTCAGTCAACAATAATTGGTTCAAGGAAGAGAATTTCACATGGCGGTGCCGCTGAACCATTGAGAGACCAAGTGTCTTAATCTCGAGCGCCATGTCAGCCGACCATGGTGCCCTCCCTGGACCATATCTAGAAGCCATAAAAAAAGTTGCAGGCATAAAGGAAGTGTTGCAGGGAAAATCAAAAGATTCAGATTCGTTTGTGTGGTAAGGGAGGTTATTTAGACTATTATCAGAAGAGGAATGAGAATGGAATATTTATGTGATATGAAAACAAGGTTGTTTTTTTTCCATTTTTGAACCTTCGAAAGACTTGGATGACTTTATAATTCGTGAGTGAACAGCTGAATTCTTCGGTTTAAAAAGGAATCTTAATTCTTTCAGAAAGGAGATATATGAATCCAGACAGCAATAAGCCAAAGATCACTCATAAACTGAAAAAGAAAAAGAAAGAAAAGTACACGGAAAACTAAGTAAATCGTGTAGAAAAAACAATGAAAGAAGCAAATGGCATTCTTATTCAACTGTTCAACATTTCCGGTGATGATCAAAGCCATGTAATGTAACTTTCATGAAAGTGCACAAAGCATGCCAGAGCATCATAGTCTTCTAGAGAAACCATTATAATTTCACGAAGAAGAAACTCATCAATAAAGAACAGAAAAGTGGGATTTATTTTGCTTGTTTTTGAGGGGAAGACAGACGAAGACATCATAAGCTAAGAGAGTCTGAAATTCCGGGGTTTGCTTCAATGGGGTGCTTTTCTATGAGTGAGATTGTCTGATAAATAGTCGGTTCTTAGCAGAACCATTCATCAGGCTGACATAATTTCATCCTCTACGTCTCATGGCATACATCAGACACAACCTCAAATTCCATGCATTGATACATTTTAAAATGGGCTACTTTGTTATCATTACCTCAAAAATATAGGCACTCATGAAACATTGGGTCTTTTCCTGTTTCTATAATGTAGATCAGCTTAAGAATTCATCAGGCTGACATAATTAATGACACCATTTCAATCCTCTTGACCCACAGAAACAAAACCCAACATGGGGAAAAAGACAAGTAAAAGAAAAAATCCTGAGCCAGAGCAGTTTGGTTCTAAATTGATCTTAAATATCCTTAAAGCAACAGGCAAATGGACAAGATATTTGTATCTCTATTTCTCTAGCCTTGAAAAATCTTCTGCTAACCAAAGTGGTACAAGCATCAGAAGATTCAGAATATCAGCAAATGATGTTTTGCCATTTATCTTGATTGGGATGGAGTTTTCCAATTGAAAATAAAAAATAAATCTTGAGTTTTTTCTGTATACCAAAACACTGCTATAGCTTTGGTGAAGCCACACTACTGTTTTCTTTATTGGCTAACATACACAATCCCACTTGCTAATGAAGAATCAAGATACTGTAGGTTTTAGTTATAATTTCTCACTTGACTTTCAATTTCGTGTAGTTTCTCTCCTACTTTCACTTCCATTTTAAAATAATTTCAATGTGAAAAGACCAAATATTTTCTGGCTTGAACTGGCAGGCCCCAAGGTCTGATGCCCCCTTGGTTAAGTCACTAGTGATTACCCTCTCCAGTCTCCTCCTTTTCTTTATTTGCTTCTACCATGAAATTTCCAAAAAGAGGGCTTTCATTTTCTACTCCCACTAATTACAGAATTACTCTATAATTCTTTGGCAAAACATGCGTGTTGATACCATCACTACCCACTAAGCAAACTTTTTTCTCCATACTCTTCATAATCTTATCCCAAGTGGGTTTCAATCATTTTCCATTCACACTCTCCAACAAAAGGACCATATTTTTCCTAAGACCTACAATTCTGCCATTAAAATTCTCTTACATAGTCTCTTGCTGGAGGCTGAAATAAAAGTTACAGGCTGCTGGAACTAGCTAACCCCGCACTTACTTGACTACATGCACCACCTCTTGCCTCAGACCACATTTGGAGTTTACAGATGGAGATTTGACAGGGGCACTAAACATGGAAGTTGGCTAAAACAGAGCTAATTATCTTGTCTGTGTTAGCCGACTTGAGAATACAGTTGTTTTCACGTTAATTACTAAGCAAAGAGATCAGAGTTTTCACAATTGTTTGCACCCTCTCATGCTTTTTTATTCAGCATAAAAATTGATTAAAAAAAATCACAATCTTCATAGTATAAGGGATGTACAAAGTTAAGTCATTTTTTGATAAAAGGGAAAATATCAGTAATTGAAAATGATAGCTTTATTCCAAATAAACATAAAAAACCCATCATCCCTCTCATATCTCTTTAATACAAGCACAAAAATAATACTTGGAATGCTCTCTTGCAATTTGGTCGACACTAGATTGTTAGCAAATAAGTTCAAGTACTAATAAAAATTGCAGTTTGCAAATTGCAAATGAGCATGATGAAAAATAAGGCAAAAAATGAAATGGTGTTTTCATGCTTTACCGACCTCAAGAGAGATGAAACACGAATGTTGTTGATGAAACTGCTGTAAGGAAATAGTCAACATTGCGTTTATGGAGTCAACGACAGAGCCCCGTCTGTGGAGCACCATGGTCAAACACTTTTGGTGGTCCTACGGGATCCAAGCTGATCTTACGCTGTAAAAAAATGCGGTCTGGTCAAAATCCACTCACTGTCCAAATGCAGAGAACACAGTTCTATTATGTACTCGTTAACCTCAAACTCAATGAGTTGACTCATGATAAAATGATCCAAAAATTAAAGGGAAAGAGCAAATTGCTTTGCTATGCACATCCTAATGTCAATTTTTTAAGTTGTAGAAAAAAGGAATGATTGAGGAGTAATGACTTTCAAGTCCATCTTACACACCAGCAAAATCAATGGGGGTGCAGAGAGAGATAAAGACATTTGTGTAATATTTTCTAAGTTATAAGGGCATTGCCATAAACCTTTTCTTTAAATACGACACCTTTGCACTTCAAACATCCTCCACTTAGAAACTCAACTTTCATATTAAGTTTTCTATTGTAAGCAGCTACACAGAAAGTCATGGGGAATTGCTTAGTTCTGGAAGAGAAGGTGATCAGAGTCATGAAAACTGATGGAAAAATCCTTGAATATCAAGCACCCATCAAAGTTCAACAAGTGTTATCAGACTTTTATGGTCATGTACTATCTGATTCTTTTTCAGGCTTCCAGCATCTCCAGCCAGATGCAAAGTTGCTTCCTGGGCAGTTATTATTACTTATACCTGTTCCATTACCATCCCAAAAGAGTAAGAAAAAGGTGAGGTTCTCAAATCCAGAGGTGAATGATGAGCAAGAAAGTGCTGTCGTTATAAGAATTAAGTTGATAATCAGTAAGCAAGAATTGCAAGAGCTGCTTCAAAAGGAAGGAGTGTCAGTTCAGAATATGGTCTCTCAGATACATAGTAAACAAAGCACAAATGGAATTGACACATCTGATGCTGATGATAACTGCAAAGGGTGGAAGCCTGTATTAGAAAGCATAGCTGAAGTGAACTAGTAAAGCATATCATGTGTGAAACTAATCCCACTATTCTTAGCCATATTTATCTTACAGACAAGGAAGATATATATATAGATATATATATGTGTGTGTGTGTGTGTGTGTACTGCAACAATAGGCTTGTCACCGCAACAATATATAATGTCTCCTCTATGAAATCAGCAGATAAAACGATAAGCGCGCTTGAATCCATGTCCTTGTGAACATCCATTAATTTTGTCATGTTTTTTCTTCATTTAAATGGCGTCAACCACCCGGTTAAACGAAGCAAAAAGGAATATCGATTTCTCTAGCACATGCTAAGTCAATGAACTAATAAGTGAACCTTGAAACTGGGCAAAATACAACAGTAATGGGAATAAATGCCTTTGTTTCTTTTTCTAAATAATGGAAATACCTATATTTAAACCAATACTATCCCCCTTCCAGCCAACAAAATGCACAGGTTTTTATTACCAGGTCTCAAATTCAAAAGCTAGTGCTTCTGATGCCTCAACGGCATGGTACATGCTATTTTTAGCCAATACTCATCGGTAAAAGCCCCAACCATTCACCTAACAACAAAAAAATCTCAAATCTCAGCACCCTTTTATGTCAGAATAAGAATCAAATACCATCAATGGAGAGATTAGCATATTTCACGACATTGTAGAGAACTTAAATTAATATTTGCCACAAAAGAAGTGGTAAGATGATGCATCTAAGCCACTTGAGGTTTCTTTCTCACCTGCTAAGTCACTAAAAGGAACTTTTCTAATAGCCATCTCACCATAAAGGAAGTTTGAAAAAGAAAAGAAATGAAATTAACTTATGCATCCTTTGGCGCCTAACCTATGCTAAATCCAATCCTGAATCACACTAAAAACAATTCTAATAGTAAGAATAGATAATTACCTTTTGCATTGGTAATTATTAGGGTTATGTTGGTGCGCAGTAGGCGCACCCATGATAGCGTTGGTGCTATAGCTCATAATTAATAGGAAATTCTAGTATAAACTGAAAAGACAAGTCAACTTTACCTAGTAAAATTTCATTATATGTTGTAAGAAAAGTTTAAGCGAGTTTTACTTTGAAATGGAAAGCTATTTCCAACACAAATCAAGCTCTCAATTTGCTTGTTAGGTAAGAGCATTGATTTCCCACATGCCCCATTTCTTCATCTTGACAATCCAAAGTATGTCAAAGACAAAAAAAAAAAAAAACTCCAAAGCAAGCTAGTAATTACAAAAAAGGGCACTCCCTGAACAACATGCTTGTAAATCAACTGTCTTAGTTGGCTCATTAATGTGCTATGTCACCAAGTCTGACTGATGTGGCATTTTTTAACATTGCTGAACCGAACCTTTTGCATAGTGAGGGTGTTCAGATCTTGAAACTTCCCCACCATGAGACCTGGTGATAGACTGGAATGCTGCGATTAAGGTACAGACGTGGTCTCCAACCTAGAATGTTTGATGCTCTAATTGACATGAACAAAATATATTATTACACTAACACGATCGCCATATCGAATTTCATGTGATTTGCATCAATTAGTTTAATGTATAGCCTAATTCAATCCTCTTTTTCATTTTTCACACAAAAGAAAGGGGAAGGAAATGAAGCTCCCAGAACCGTCTTGACAACATTGAAAAAAGGCAGTGGCAGAACTGTTTACAAGCATGATGACTTCATAATAAGTTTTTAAGAGCAACGGCCAACAATGCATTTAAGACCTCCATTTTGGTAAATGGAACAGAAACAAGAAATGAAAGTACAAAAAAAAAAAAAAAAAAAAAAAACAGATACCATACACTTTCAAACTGTCAATTATTTATTCTTTCAACTAATTTCCTGGGAATTGGAAATTGGAACACTTAACATAGATAAATGTTTTTCAGTCCCTGGTTTAATGAGCTTTCTGAAAGATACTCGTAGCAATTTCTATCATCCAATCGGACTTCAGATTTGTCACTTTCTCATGTCCAAGGTAGTCTCAGTCCTAAATCTAAAGAGTGGAGGGGGGAATTTGCTAGCCCAAGTACATTTCTGAATGTTATTGATCTTGATTGACAAGATCCGTGAATATAAGCAAGCCAGACACAATGAATATTTTCCACTTTCCACCTTAGTTTTGCTTAAAGATAGTACCTTTTTAAAAAGATTTACTAGGATTCATTGTTTTTAAAAAGAAACGTGATATATACGAATCAACAGTTTAACATGACCAAAATCCCAACAAAAACAACATATTAACCATCAACTTAGTTTGCTAGTCTCCCGCTACCGTACACACAAGTTGCAACGTTGGATTGAAATGTAAAAGGAATAATTCACCAAATATATACAATCATATAGATGGATTTTTCACATACATAAGATAGTACATGATGCCACCTGGTCAGGAAAATATTAAACAAGTGGTGCAACTGATTTTACAGGGAAAACATTGTATATTCGGCAAGCAGATACCTCAGGGTTCTAAAATCCCTAATCCGGAGCTATTCTTCCTTCTTTTCTACTTCCAACACAATCTCATTACGGCGGGTAAATGGAAGTGTAAATGGTGGATTGTACTGCAACCACAATTAAGGAGTTATTCAGAAAGGTATGTCAGAAGCAACTTATTCAGGGACTGACTTCATTATAGATAATTTGTTATAAATGTAACCTGTGCAACTTCTACTGAAGCCACTTTTTTAACTTGAAACTGCCTGTCATTTTTCAGAGCATCTCGGAATTTCAGTTCCCGTTGTTTAACTTCTTCATCAGTAACAAAACCTGATCCACGAACATGACCAAACAATGTTAGTTCCCAGAGCTGCACAATTAAAAGATATGAATGTATCAATGTCATGCCTTAGTTGTTCCTTAAATTGAAATATCTGTATTTTATGTTCTTAAGAAACCTGAGAAGGCAACAACTGCAACTACTTTCCTTGACACGTAAGTTAAGAACAAACCTGAGAAGGCAACAACCGCAACTACTTTCTTTGGCACCTCTTTGATCCTCACAGAAGGATCTTTAGGCAATGGCAGATTGGAACCATACTTTGATGGCATGACAAAAGACATCTGCCACTTATCTTGATTTTCCACCTGGATCATAAGAAGTCCAATATATAAGAACCAATTTAATGAACAATTGCATAAAAGGAACAATTTAATGAACCCTGATAATGCAGTGCACCCAATACAAATCCAAGTAACTATGGATCAAAGTTAAAAAACACCAACAAAGAGGGGTGACTGAACACATCAATATGTGTTTGCAGTCTGAAATCAACTGCATGATTCATAATTTCATACACAGAATCAGGGATCTTCTTTGAGTTACCTTGACAAACCAGAATAACAGAATACGACTTCACATAGCATGGACATTTTCTCTCATTTGTAAATTATTCAGTTGCATAATGAAAAAAAAGTATAAATGATAAAATTGTGTTATTTACAACATTTCCCATAAAGCAAATTTAACAATCGCCAAAAATTCCAAATGCACAATCCAAACACTAAACTTACCTTCTTTGTTATCACAGGTGTGGTCATTTCCATCCTCTCCCCATCAGAAGTCCTACTTGTAAAAACAGGGGTAGTCATCTCCATTTTCTCCTTACTCGTATTCTACAAGCACCAAACATCTGAATAAGCAAATTACAAGAGATGGTTGTAGAAAGAAATACTCCAACTTAACATAGAAGATCCTAACTACCTTACCAAACAGGTACTCAGCTAAAACATTGAAGGATTGAGATGCACCATTGAAATCAAATCCAGTCTTCCCCGGCATTGTTGTCTCAGCTATATAATAAGGCTGTTATAACAATCATAATTCTCTTTAGACTACATACAGTAAACATAAGATTAAGAAAAAAAAAAAAAAAGAAAAACAACAGCGACAACATGCACATACCTCTACTTCCCTTATCTCATACTGGTCTGTCCTACTCAAAACCTTGAACCTTACAGTCTCAAGATCCGGGACTAAACAAATAAATCCATAAAAAAGGAAAAAAATGTAAATGAAAACAAACTGAAAGAATAGTTTCAATAAACAATTCGCCAAATCATAAAAAATTTTCAAAGCGTTCATGAAATAGTACTAATTTTGATGAGATGATGAGTTATAATTTGATAAATCTAAACCTAGTAAATAAAAAAGTACCTGCCATTAATGCTTCCTCCAAATTCCGGCCCTCAAACCTCTTTGGAAACACGTATTTGGCAGTCTCCGAAGCCAAGTCCATCAAAACTGCAATAAAAGTTAGGTTAAAAGTTCAAAAGACTGATAAAAACAGAGAAATTGAACAAAATGAAAAGAATACTTTTAAAATTATTGAACATTTGGAATTGGAAACTGAACATTTACGTCGTTGAGAGACGGAAGAAGCTTGAGAAGCAAGAGCTAAAACGAGGGAGATTCGAGCTTCGAAGGCAGACATGGTTCGTCTCTGCTTCGGAGCTAGGATGGTTGTGGAAGTCGTTGTTGGTGTTCTCTCCGTTGTGGCCATCGACTTGACGATGTTCAAGGAAGATCGGTTGATATTAGGGTTTTGGGTTGAAGAAATAATTAGGGTTTTGGGAAGAGATTGAGCTGCCATTGAAGGCCTGAAAAGAAGCGGTGGAGGTGGAAATTGTCTGTTACTGGCTGTTAAGTTTTAAATTTCCGTTGGAAAGAAGAAAGGCGTGGGCGTAGATATACACATGCTCACAATGGCGGCGGTTGGAGTTTTCCCGTGAAGGATAAGGCCCATAAAATTATCCTCCTAATAAGTTTTTATTGTAAGGTCAGCAACAAATAAAAAAACTTCAATAAAAAGATTCAGATAGTCAGTAAGTCGATCTAGAAATATCATGACATGAAGGTTTGATCAAGAAAGGAAATTTATCATGAAGGGTTAAAAGGTAAATCCAGCAACCAATCCTCCCGCTTTCTCTCTCTCTCTCTCTCTCTTCCTCCAAGTTTAGTTAACCACTTTTCCTCTAAAATCAATCTCTTCCATGGCCAAAGCTCAAAAATAAAAAAAAAAGGGCAAAATTTTTTTTTTGTAACTTTGATTCGTTTCTTGATAACTTTGATTACAAATAAAGTGCAGTTTAATTAAAAAAATCTATTAAAATATATTTTTTAAAAATATTTTAAAATTTTAAATTTTGAACTTCAACTTCACATAAAATAATATAAAAACTCCCGTTTCGACCCTCAAATTTATTCTCCATGGTTGACTATTTTGTTTTTGAAGTATTGTTTGCGCTTTCCTTAAAGTTTTTTTTTTTTAAAAAAAACTGGGCATACATATGGTTAATAATTATAAATGATTATAAGAGAATTAATTTAAATTTTACAAGGCAAGCGTTGTTTCTCTTGTATTACCCTTCAAAGCCAGTGCCATAATCCCACAATGCTAGACAGTCAAAACACAAATGTGCTGCATACGACATTTCCCGAAAAAAAATGGCCTGCCATTTGCTTGTAGTTTACCCCTCAAATACCGTTCAAACCATTGCTCAAACACCCTGTTACTATACAGTAGAGATCCATTAATCTACTCCGACTATCATCATTCAATTAGCGGCAACCAAATCATAGGCTTACTGAACGTAATCCTTAACACAAATGCAACTATGATGAATTAATCTACATTCAACAATCACAAATTGCACGGTGATGAATGAAGTAGATTATACATTGTAGCCATGCACAATTCCGAATAACCGGAAATTTCCAAAGATGATTCAACCAACTCATCGTTAAGAAACGAATATGTTCCACCAAAACAAATTAAATTTTATTGCAACAATGAACATTGCTACCTAATAGATATATGCTCAGACCCACAATCCTCAATAACTTCAAAATATCCAGCCAGAACACGATGGTTTCATTCCTCTGATTGCCTCTGTCCTAGAACTGGAATGTCTTCATACCGTTTCTGTTGCATAGCAATAAAATCAAATTTACAAGTAGATCAACTACTTTAAGCTCTGGAAGTAATTGATTATTGCAGACAAAGATCAGCAAAGATGAGTCAAGGCATTTATGCAAACAATTTTTGTGGGTGTGTCAAATTGGATAAGCAAACCAAATCCATACAGTAATTATCAAATTGAAACATATTTTAAAGTTTGCAAGAACAGAAGAAATTATAGCTATAGAGAAGGCTATATTATATCACATTGTTTAGGAAGAGGAGAGAAGAAAGAAGGCTAAAAGCAAAAATACTTGATTTTTGTCTACACATAACAATGCACACAACTGACAGCAGATAATAAATACCAATGCAACCTAAGAGATTCAATATGAAATAGGTAACAAGTATCATATCACCCACCACTCAATAACAATATAAAGTTCTGCAATTAATGAACAGGTTTACAGTATTCTACCCAACTGCAAGATTTATCTCATTGAAAAGCCAAATTTGAAAGGAAACTACAATCCTCACAGATCCCTTTTCCAGAAAGCCAATCCCAAACAATAAGTGAGATCAGACATATTCCCACAGTTACAAAATGTTTCTAAAAGCTATTTCAAGCATCTAATAGCACTAACAGTATTACGCAAGTGTCATGATGGTTGTTCTTAAACAAAAATTGACATTTACCTAAAGATCAAAGATACTTCATAAAATCCACCTTGGAATATATGGGGTTACAGAAAACCATCAAAAAGACTGGTATGAGAGTATTATAACAAGATTTCTAAAACTGGAACGAGCCGAGTGGCACCCCTGGCCATCTTAATTGCTATAATGGTTTAAACAACTTGTCAATCAAGTGGTAGGAGTAGGGACAATCCTATCTACAATGCAATCAAATCAAAATCCAACTGTGCTCGTGTAAATCAATATTGACCACCAAATTTGCGACTAATATTCAAACAATCCACACATAAATAAGCTGCCTATGTATGCCATAAAATACACAACAGAAATGATATTCCTAAGATTAGAAAATTTTACCCCAACATTGTTGTATTCCCAGAGCTTATGAACTCCATAATCCACAGCCTACAAAAGTCGAATCAATTATAATAAGAATCTTCAGAGATCATAAATAACAGCTGATTTTAAACATTACTAGAACCGCAGCATTTACAATTAAAAACCAAATAATCAATAAAAATTAACAATCATCAGTAAATTAATAAACCCTAACCTTTTTCGAAAAATCAACAATCAAATTTAATCCAGATCAAAATGGAAATGAGAGAGATTCAATGAGAAAAAAGAGTTAAAATTTACCCGTTCACCAAGGAAAGCGCCGGCGATGACGAAGGTGACGTAGACAGAGTTACGGCGCATGATGACTCTGTAGAGACCTTCATAAAGGCCTCCTTGACCTCTTCTTCGAGCTGCGTAATCCATGGCGGTTCGCTAAGGTAGAAGGAGTCTCTTTTGCTGGGATCTGCGATTAGGGTTTGCAGAGATGCTGTGCGCGAAAGGATGGTGAATTTTGTTTCGCAACTTTGAAGTTTGAACTTTTGACAAGGTACCGGGTCGAACCGAATGATATGGATTTAGACTTGCTGGGTCATCGGCCCAATGGGTTGTAAGGTTGGATTTTGTTGCCTTTTGTTTTCCTTTACTCTTTTTTTAATTAATACAACTTTTTTTTTTTTTTTGCATTATCTATTGCTTTTTCATTGGGCATTTTTTCTTATATGAAAAAAAAAAGCGAAAATTAGTGGTAAAATAAATTTAACCTGATATAGAGGAAAAAGGAAAAAGATAAATAAGGTAATTTGAAATACAATATAATAATATAAAAATAATATAATTTAAAATTTATAAAAATAAAAAATTATATTTTATTTTTCTATATCAATATAAATTATAATATATAATTTTTATATTAAATATAGTTTAAATATAATATTTTACACGATGACGAGGATCTAAAAATAAAAGTTTGCCACGACTGCGCCACGATCCTCTGGTTATCACGGGTCTGAAGGCTGCGCGCGTGAAAACCCATAACCTCTCTTGTCAATTTTTCTTCATTGAAAAACCTAAACAAAAGAACAAAAAAGCGAGGCGAAAAATTCAACCGCCACTTCGCCAATACCACTTTTTTACTCTCAACCACGAATCTATCACTAAACAAAAAAAATCGCATCGAATCGAGAAAAATAAAACCCTCATTTTTATTATTTCTTTCTCAGCTATTTGGTTGAATGGAGTTGTTAGATGGAAACTTAGAGCTCAAAGAGATTCAAAATCTCCAAGGCCACACCGACAGGGTTTGGAGCATCGCCTGGAATCCGGCCACCGCTGCTGCCGATGTTCCCGCAGTTTTCGCTTCTTGTAGCGGCGATAAGACTGTTCGAATCTGGGAGGCGAGCCCCTCCACTCGCTCCTGGGACTGCAAGGTCCTCCTCCTCTCCCCCTCCCTACTTATTTTTATTTTTATTTTTTTTTCTGAAAACATTGCTAAGAGGAAGTGAAAATTGGATTTAAGCTAGGTCAGCAACGTATAAATTTCAAATTTTTTTGTCGCCTTTGATATTTAAGTTAACTAAAGTAGAAAACTTTTTGTTGCAGTCGTTTGAAATTTATGATTTTTACTGTCATTTTTTTTCTTTCAAGTTGGAATGAATTCCGTCCTTTTGAATTTGTTTAGAAGTATTAGCTGAAGTAACGATTGTTGGAATTCATGGTGATTTGGTGTGTGATCTTCTGCAGGCTGTTTTGGAAGAAACACACACTAGAACGGTCCGATCTTGTGCTTGGTCACCGTCTGGGAAATTGTTGGCCACTGCCAGCTTTGATGCTACCACTGCCATATGGGAAAATGTTGGGGGTGACTTTGAATGTGTTTCCACTTTAGAGGTATTATTCTTATTCTTTTTTTTTTTTTTTAATTTCTTTAGGGTGTGTTTGGATGAGGTACTTGTAAGAGGGATTTTATTTTAATCAAGGTTTACAAAAGTCCAAAATTTTATTTATTTATTTGGATAAAAATAAGAGAAAATTTCAAAATTTAGGTAGAATTTCAAAAGGCTTGAAATTCCACCTAAATTGGTGACTTTTCAAAATTCCTCCAAATCCTCCTCACTTTACTGCACATGGTCCACAATAACATACAAAACTCAAAAAAATAAATATCATTTTATTTAACTCTAATATATTATATATATATTTATATTATTAATAATATCTATATATTTTTACAAACCCAATGATACCCTTATTGCATATTTTATTTTACACATATATTTTTTTTATCTTTAATATGATTATTGTTCTTTTATAATTATTCTTTAATCTCATCAAATTCCAATAGATTAAATTTGTTTTTAAGAGATATTTATCCAAACAACATAATTATAAATGCTAACATTTTGAAATAATGCATTTTAAAATTCCTTCATTTCAAATTTCTTCAAAATTTTAAAATTCTCCATCCAAATGCACTCTTAGAGTTTTCTGTCTGTTTTGCTGTTATTCGTGCACCATTTAATACCAATTCACTAAGCAAAACATAGTTACACGTCAAAATTGTGGCTAAACTGAAATAGCTTACCATGTAGAAAGGGATTGAGCCTAAAAATATTATATTTCTTGCATTCGGCTAGATTTATTGTCAAATATGGGAATTATTAATATTTAGATTATATCTGGTTCATATTTTAATAATATTGGAACCATTTATTTATTTATTTGCCGTTGTGTATAGGGTCACGAAAATGAAGTGAAAAGTGTGTCTTGGAATGCATCAGGTTCTCTTCTTGCAACATGTGGGCGAGATAGAACTGTTTGGATTTGGGAAGTAATGCCAGGGAATGAATTTGAGTGTATTGAAGTTTTGCAAGGTCATACTCAAGATGTGAAAATGGTTCAGTGGCATCCGACTATGGATATTTTGTTTTCCTGTAGCTATGATAACACTGTCAAGGTACTGTAAAGGCTAAAGAGATCTCTATCTCTTTTACAAGCCCTTAGAAATCTCTAATCTTTTGCAGATTCCATTATGTGCCAACAAGATCGAGAAATGTGATTGAATTTGTGATACATTCGCATTTCCTTGTAGGTTTGGTGGTCCGAGGATGCTGAAGGTGATTGGAGCTGTGTACAAACTTTAGGTGAATCTAGCAAGTACTGTGGCTAAAACTCTTTCTATCTTTGCTCTTTCAGCTCATTTTCTCGTTTATTTTACTGCATGAGATGTATTTTTTTTCTTTATATGATCCTATGAAGTATTGTGATGGTTCTTTTAAATTTTATAAGACCTTGAATATTTTTATCCACTGGTTTATGAAATTATCAGACTACTAAAACTCTTGTTTCAATATCTTATGGTCAGTGGTCACTCTTCCACCATTTGGTCACTTGCTTTTAATGCTAAGGGAGACAAATTGGTAACTTCTAGGTATGCATAACAATTTTGTCAGTGGAATCATATTATTTGTTGATGGCATCACAAACAAAAAAGGAACTGTTGTAAGAAATAGGGCTAAAATAAATTGAACTGAGTTTGTAGTGATGACCTTACCCTGAAGATATGGGAAGCAGACATCGTAAGGATGCAATCTGGAGATGGTTATGCACCCTGGTGAGAAACCTGCTACTTTTTTTCAATTGAAAATTTCAAATTGCTAGCACTTGGTTGTCATATCAAATTCATAGTCTAGGCTGGTTTGCATAAATCAGGACTTAGATGCTTTGTTAATGCCCTTGAATTCGTTTTTTTCCATTTGTTTATAATGTGTAGAACTTTCTCTGGCTACCCTCAATAATTTGCTTGCACAATTAAAAATCAAAGTCAATGATAAATTCATGGCTTATTATATTCATTGAGAAGCTATTAATGCTCACATTTTGATCTCAAGAAACTCATTCTTGCTGTGTGAAACTTAGAAGCATCAATTCTTAGCCTGGTAGTTGTAGCAGTCCTACCAAAGAATTAACGGTCAAATTATTGTGATTAACATGCATATTAGATCTAGATTAATCATTAGTTATATTAAGCATAGCATGTACCCTGAAGGGATCAAAACTAACTTATTCCACTTTGATATACAGTATTTCCTTTTGTTTATTCTTGTTTAAGACTGTGTAATGCATAAAAGTAATGGGCTTCACTTGAATGGTTGTCCAGGAATCATTTGTGCACTCTCTCAGGTTATCATGATCGAACAATTTTTTCAGTTCACTGGTCAAGGTATTGACACCATTTTATTGTAGCAACTATTTTCTCCTAGGGGCTTCTACTGTGTGATCCTTTAATTTTCTCTCTATAAATGGCTGAGAAGTCCAAATTACAACTAAACTGCTTCTATGTTCTTATTTTGGGGACAGGCTAGTGCTTACCTATTTGTTCTTTTCAATTGACTTTTTTTTTCTTAACAAGAAGAAATTAGGTAATAACCCAATTCCCAAAGAAAGAGCTGAATGACAGGTTTAACTTGGTTTGCATCATCAGAACCATTTTCTGGTGACTGAAAATGTTTTCCTAAAGCTTACATGTATGAGTGACTGGAATGTTAGCCATAGTCATGACCTTGAGGAAATGACTCTTGTGCTGAGTGATAAACTCATTACCATCCATATGCTTTACTTTCTGTTTTCAAGAATTTACTAGTAACTTTGTGAGAAACGGGATGACAACCTATGCCTGAAGGAGTCTAATATCAACTCTGATTTTGAAAATATTTTGAGTGATATAACTTCTGTTTGGCTGAATTAGTGAAGTGCATTCCATTAACAAATTGTATGTGACTATTTAACATTGTAATTATCTTGTCTGATTTAAGTTAAAATGGGTTTGATTTTGTTGCCTCTATGGTTCCATTTTATAAGTTTGAGTTAGGATTATGTAAGAATCAAGTACCCTGTCTTCTACATTTGATATTATTTTCATTCTGAATAGCTTTCTTTTTTTTCTTAAGTTTCAATCTGAAACTGATTGTTCTGGCTTATGAATATTACAGAGAGGGAATTATTGCCAGTGGAGCCGCTGATGATGCTATACGGTTGTTTGTAGAGAGCAAAGATGGTTTGGTATGTAATTCTTTCAGCCTCTGATTCACTGTATATGTTTCCATATGGAGCAATTAAACGTGCTTCAGTATTAATGTCCTGCGTTTGACAGAAGGATGGTTCTGTAAATTCTATCCAAAGTAATTGGGCAAATTGTCCTGTTATGCATATTAAGAGTTCTTGGCTGGAAAATGCTCCCTCCTTTGTACTTTTTAGGTTTCGAAACTGGCGCAATTCAGCAGATTAATCTGTTTTATGGTTTTACTACAGATGAATGGACCTTCGTATCAATTGCTATTGAAGAAGGAGAAGGCCCATGACATGGACGTAAATTCAGTACAATGGTTCCCGGGGGTAAGATTTCCTTTCTTGGTCATGCACATGCACATAAAAGCAGAAATGAATAAATATCACAAATATAGATAATTTCTTTATGTATGTAGAGTCCGGTGGTTGGCTCAGTTATTGGCTTCTTTTTGTCTTCTTCTGAATTGATGGCCTACTGATTGATTTGATAGTTTTGCTCAAACCAATGCCTTCAAAATAGTGGCAAAACCATCCAGAAAGGATTGAAAATAAAAATAGATCTTGTGATTAAATATCCATTTCATTAGCTTCAGTGTTCTGGCCTCAGTTTTAGACTATATTTCCATCAATTGGACTATGCACGTTTACTAAGAAGCCCAACTACTATGTTGTGCTAGAATTTTCCTATAGTTTCACCCATTTTCTTTTTAGTTACTGCATCTCCCTTTGTTTATTTTCTATTTTATATCTTTTTCAAACCTGAGGTATTTTGGGGCTTATTCTTTAAAGAATCACAATGGTAATAGAACCATGAATTGACTATATGGAAAGCTTATACCTGTGCTTGTATCCTACAATAGATTTGTCTTGAGTCTCAACTTTATCTAACATATTGGTTTGCATTATCATTGAAAATAACAGGAAAAGCGTCTACTTGCTTCTGGAAGTGATGATGGAGCGATAAAGATATGGGAGTTAGAAACTTTGCCCGGATGAAAATTTTGTGAAATTTGTTTTTCTTTTTCATACCTTTCGGATGTTAGATATGCATGGTTTTGAAAATTTGTATGTGATCTTGTAACAGTTTGGCTTTGAGAAGTCAGGAAATGAAATATTATGTGACAGAATCATGGTTGAAATAATAGTCTAGCAGAATTGCTGTGTATAATTTGTGATAGCAAAAGTGAAATGCATGATTCTATTCTCTAACACAGACTTAACCATGTTCTCTTGTCACCTCTGCTTGGAGTGAACTATATCCACTCTTTAACTGGAAGGGTTATCCCTCGTCCAGATGCTGAACAGCTCAGGCAGTCAGCTGATTCATGGCTGTCTTCACGGATCTGGGACATGAATTTTAGTACCACAATTGGCCAAGGGAGAATTTCGGGAAAGAAAGGAGAAGCAAGAGCAAAGTAATGTAGAAAAAAACCAGTTCTAGTTTGTCAATTGTCACCTACAGAAATGCCATGCCCCAACTGACTTGCACCACTCACCCAGTCAGCCCTGTTGGATGGGTGTGCTCGGTTTTTCCCCAATGTGGTGATGATCATGCTATTAACTAACCTATAGATTGCATTTTCTATCCTCAATGAGCCGGTGAATATTAGATTATTTCTCTGATGAGGCTGTGGCTTGTAACAGCTTATCTTTTTAAAAAAAGGGAATGAAAGCAATCATTAATCTTACCTGAAAACTAAATCAAAGTTCATTTTCCATAACTAAAAAGATTTTACCAGATTCATCATTACATTGCCTACAGAACAAGCATAAAGTAGCAAAATAATCACTTTGGCAAATATATGTCATGTGCAATGAAAACAAATCAACCATTAACATTTTTTTTCCAATTTTGATTAGAAAACAAACAAAAGATTTAATATAACTAACACCTGTTTTCTATTCTAAATCCACCAGAATTTGCTCGTCGTCCTTCATCAACCAAAGCTGCACGAGCTGACAGAATCCCATTAGGGACCAAAGAAGCTTCAAATACAGAACAATCAATCCAATCCATCAAAAGCTCTTCCTGACTCCATACTTCAGGAATCCAAACCCTGCCTGCCACTTCAATCCTATGCCTCTTCAGTCTCTCTCTTCCATTATCTTCTTCCAACAACTCTTTAGCCCTCATTGCTTCTTTTGTAACGTCATCAACTACTACAGGAGCTGAAGACGTACCCTCTAACGAGCTTCCCTCGTTGTTTATAACTCTAGCAGTCTCATCAAAATCATATTGACAGGTTTCCAACCCTGAGATTCCTGTCTCAACATGAACAACATCGTCATGCTGCTGACATTTGTTGGGTTCTTCTGGAAGCTGGGGAGCTCTTCGTTCCCCAGGCTGGACAGGATTCTGGTGGGTCATTTTTGTAGGTTCTACGTTCATGAAGTTGAGACAAAAGCCTTATTTTTCTTCTTCTTCGTGTTTTTCCTCAGTTCCTTGACTGATCCCTTTTTGTTGAAGGAGAAGAGAACATTGAAGATTACATTCACATGGAGAAAGGGTTTTGGTAGGAATAAAAGCAAAGATAATGGGTGGGGAGTTCGTTTACACGTCATCTCTTTCAAAACTGTCAAGTGTGTTTTGTTTTGTATGGCAAGTGAGAAAACATACGTTTCTTGTTTCAGGATTGTTATTGGTTAAGGTTCCATTTTGCGTAGTTCAGTTGCAAGTTTGATAACACCAAAGAAGGAATGGAAAAATAGAGCCTTCAATAAAAGAAAATTTGCATATGATGCCTTGGATGGATTTTTTGGATATATAAAATAAATAAAATTTACGAAGAAATACGAATATTCTCCATCATGTAATGAGATTTAGACTCATTTTAGAGAAATTTTTTTTCTTGATGTACACCTCAACGACTCTGTCCCCTCTTCTTTTGTTTATGTCCTCACTTTTCTTTCTCTTTTCAAAATTTCTCGAGCCATGTTGAAAAACTTACTTGTAAACATTTTTTTTTTCCCATTTTTTTCGTTTCTCTTCTTTTCATAGTTTCATGCATGCATTAACAGAACTACATGGTGATATTGCATATTTGCTTTAATTTTGAATAATCTCCTACTTTTTACAGAGTTCTTATATGGTAGGGCACATGCTCCATGTGGGTATGCCTTTTAATCTTAGACCTTAGTCTTCTAACATGAAACAAGTAATTTTACAATGAATAAATCTTCTTTAAAAATCAGTTCTAATTACAATTAAATTTTTAACAATGTCTTGTATTATCCAAAAAAACAGTAATTTTTCATGTATTCTTGGACAGCATTCTTCTTCTGCATGGCATTGTTGTTACCCCACCTGAAATTTATTCTTCAAAGAATAGATGACATTAACACAACCAAAATTGGATAGGAAAACACACTAAGTAATCTCATCTTTACTTTCATCAAATGCACTCTTCTGTACAAAGCTACTCAAGCTTTATTTAAACATGGTATCAAAACAAGCTCTAACCTAAACTTCGAAAAATTTACTGCACTTATTGAAGGGAACAAACCATATAGAACCAACTAATAGCATGGTATACTTTTGAACAAGCATATGCACTAACATCTCAAAACAGAAACCAGTAATCACATAGGATTATGTGGAAATAAGTAGGGACCTCAGAGTGAAGCATAACTACATTGGTTGAGACACTAATCAGAAAACCATTCAAGCTCTTGGATAGCGTGAACGTCCTTTCTTCTTCAGGAACTCGGGGATGTCCACTGAACCACCATCACTGAAAGAAGGCCTCCGATTGATTCCAAGTCCAATATCTCCCTGTGCCAACTGACCTGCCTGCATTTGAACAGAAATCCAGTGTAAATTGGAGTGTGAGGGAGAGGGAGACAGAGACAGAGACAGTTGAGCAGTACCTGACGGGGCCTCCCTTCACTTTCTTCTTGACGTTTAAATCCCGTGGCAATTAGAGTTATACTTACCTAAATAAAGACCCAAAATTATGTTTGCCATCAAATTAATGATTCATATTGAGGACCATGAATGTTGGAGCAAGAGGTCTTGCTGGTCTGTGCAAACATGACCTTGTTGCTAAATGAAGAACCAACACAGAAGACTAGCCTATATGGCTTTCATCATCAATTCAACAGTTCGCATTAATGTCAATGTGAATTCTGCATCTAAATTTGGCGTTATTCAACATACCTCTGCACATTTTTCTTAACATATCAAGAACTCAAGAATGACTAAATAAGCCTTCAGGGAGCAGAGATGAAATTTTATTGCCAATCACATCGCTAGAGGAGAACTATCCACTGACATGAAACACAAAGGCAAGACCTCTCTTATTGGATCAATATGTGGCCTAGACAGTAAAGCTTATCCCTAAAGTCCATCCGTTGGCAGGTTTTAATCATACTTTTCTGAATGTTTAATTCATTGAATTGCTGTTATCACATATGCTTGATTAAAACGACTGTTAACAGCAGGCCTACTCAACGTATGGTGATCAAGATACAAGTATGCAGATGATTGTTTCTGTCTAACTTTGGCATGGTACGTTAGAAAAAGCATTAACTTACTTGGCCACCAAGTGATGGATCTATCACTGCTCCAAATATTAAATTGGCAGTTGGATCCACAAGATCATATATAACCTCAGCCGCAGCATTCACCTACAGAAAATTGTCAGATGTCAAATGATGCATATAAAAAGAGAATAAAATATGAAGGCATATTCTAAAACAAGTGGAACATCCAAGATAATCAAGGTCGCCAGTGTATAATATTTCAGTCACCATGTAGACTATTTCTGGTTATTGGTTGGGGGGGGTGGGTGGGTGGGAGATAAAGTACAGTTAATGCACCCCTCCCCCAACACACAGAGAGGAAGTTAGAGACAGAGTGTTACCTCAAACAAGGTTAAATCACTTCCACCAGTTATGTTCCACACAATTCCAGTAGCCCTTTCTATACCAAGATCTAACAAAGGAGATTGGATAGCATTTAGTGCAGCATCTCTTGCCCTTGTTTTCCCTACAAACAAGACGAAGTGACGTGTCAATGAAAGGGCAATTAAAAAGTGAAATACCAATTAATAAACAAAAGCATCATGATGAGAAAAGATCATAGGCCGTTTGACATGTAAAATTTTGTTTCTTTCAAGATTAAAAACCAATATGTACTACCAATAAAAGGAAAAAGAAAAGAAAATGGACAAGCTACCATCACTTCTATTTTTGTCAGAGGGCAAAAAAAAAAAAGACGTAGAAACTTCATGCATTCAAAGATGAGGCTGTGGCGCATTCTCTTCTGAGAAAAAACAAGTCCAAGCAGTGCCATCTTTAGCATTTCCAAAACACAGGTGAGAAACATGTAACATGATGGTGGACCACGTTCTTGCATCAAGATATGAACAAGGAGGTAAAGCCTGAGAAACCTCTATATTTTTCATTTTTTCCACCTTTTTTTCTCCCAACTTCTTCTTAGTATCCTTTGCTCAGGAAAGAGTAGGAGAATACGTGTAATAAGAAAAACAACCAGAAATTTTGAAGCCTAAAATATAAAATGCTAACAATCTCTTTGAATTACCAGTTGCAGTTCCTATCCCCATTAGTGAAGAACCTGCATTGGCCATTATAGTTCGCACATCAGCAAAATCAACATTGACTAGCCCTGGAATCTGCAATCAGGAAACTAACAACCAATTAGAGTGCAGAAGTATGGTTCAAAGCTCATAAGACTTCAATGTATGTGCTGCCCAAAACACTACACATATGAATGGGTAGTCATGCAAATACACTGATTTTTACAGGCTCCAAGGTTCCATTCCTGTGCTCTGTTACCAACGGATTTAGCAGTACCAATGACCATAGTTATCCAGACTATCTAGCATACAAAGATAATTACTACAACTTTGGTCTGATAACATATAGAATAAAGATCATGATTGATAATAAATCATAGTTGTTATTTACCAGAAAAAGGCTCAAGATATTTCATAAAAAAGTGCAACCCCCAAGTATTATATGAATAAAAAATCTCATATTCAAAGGGGGTAACAAAGAGATAGAAAAAAGCAGCGCCAAACTAGTTGTTCATCCTCGACATCTAATAAACTACAGCAATAACTAATGCAAAAGTTTTTTGGCCCCAAATTTAAAGTGCACAAATGTTGCTATCACCGGTTGGTTGTAATATATCACAAAAAAATTACCATATGATCATCAACAAAATTGGAAGGACAGTTTCAATTTTTTAGGACTATGTGAGAAGAAAGAAAGAAAGAAAGAAAATGACATTACAGTTATGTCTCCTTTGTCTAAATATTTGGGTTTCAACTCAATCTTGAAATTATATAGTTAAAATTAGGATGTTTTCAATAGTTTCATGAAGTTCCTCGTACCGTAATTATATCAGAGATACCACGAACACCTTGTCGAAGAATATCATCAGCCAGATTAAATGCTTCTGTTACTGGAGTAGACTGGGAAACTGCAGTCAACAACTTGTCGTTTGGAATAACAATTAGTGTATCAACATTTTCTCTTAGAGCTGCAATTCCTTCCTGTGCTTGAACAGTCCTCCTTCTTCCCTCAAAAGAAAAAGGGGTAGTGACAATACCAACAGTTAATATACCCATGGACTTTGCAACTCCTGCAATTACAGGAGCTCCACCAGTTCCAGTTCCTCCACCCATTCCAGCCTGCAAATGCAAACTTAAGTCCTAGGTAAAATGTTAAAGAAAGACACTAGAAGACAAAAGAAAGCCAAGATCCCATTTGCTAATCCTAATTTTTAACTTGGCAAATATCAATCTATCAAAACACCAGGTGCAACAGTACCAAAACAAAAGGTTTTTCCACTAGGAAAGAACAAAAGTATCAAGGACAAAAATGAATCATGAATTAAATTAGTTCATAAATCATCAAATCCAAGACAAATCAACTATAGGAAACATTATGAACAGATATGCAACAACAATGTTATGGACATTTAACTTAACACGTATCAGATGCTTAGCACATAATAACAAGTTAAGCTTGCTGTTGCAGAAATAATATATAGTTTTTACCACTCCTTGACACAATAGACTTTGCACATAGATCATTAACTATTCAATCGATTGAATAGGTTTCATGAAACAAGAAACCACTAGTCAGTATGCATATTGCTTTTGCTTATCATATGACCATTGAATATTCAGCATAAATAGGAAGATTGAAATCTTTGACAAATATTCTTACATGTCTCGTAGAGGAGCCTAGTTAATAATAACAAACAGAACATAAAATAATTTTTCTTGTTGCACAGCATATTTTGCTCAATTCCATGATTTACCATTTGTAATTTTTTTTTATAGAAATAGTAGGTTTTAATAAAAGCATAAAAACAGAGGTAGTTTCAATCCAAGATAGTCATGAAATCAGATTAGTAACAGTAATATCAATAATCCAAATTCTACCCAAATGATTTAAATTGAAGATTGATGGGAACTTACAGTAACAAAAACCATATCAGCACCATAAAGAGCCTCTTCTATCAACTCCTTGCTTTCTTTGGCAGCATTCATGCCAATCTCTGGGTTCCCACCAGCACCAAGACCCCTAGTTAGCTCCTGTCCAATTTGCAAACGATGATCAGGAAAGACAGGTGACATTTTCATGGCTTGAACATCAGTGTTAACAATCCAGAACTCTACACCCTTCATTGCGCTTTCTATCATGCGATTAACAGCATTTGACCCACCGCCTCCAACACCAATAACTTTGATCTTAGCTTCATTATAACTACTTGAACCAGACATGTCTCTTAAGTTCTCAGTGACACTTCCAGTAGAACTATCCTTTCTTGGGTTGGTTATTGTACTGTTCCCTTCACCTCTAAGCATCGAAGCTTCAGGGTGCAGATTCAGAAAAGGGTTTTTATTTTGATGCGGACTGACACTTTGAAAGTTGGCAGAACATCTAAAATGAGGCATGGTAGACCTTTGGCCGGCACTTGAAAATCCACTTTTCCCGTCAGAAATTTTAAGGCAGCTAAGTCTCCCTAAAGGATTCTCCATTAACAGTCTCCCTCCAAGAACATTAAGCACCCCCATTGGTCTAGTATCTGAAGGTGTAAAATATGGTGTTATAGCAGTCGCCATTCGAAGGCAGCACTAAGACTCAGGTTTACTAAAGCTATGATGCAAGCCAGAAAATGTAGAGTCGTAAATAGCTTAAATTTCAAGTTGCAAACTCAATTTTTCTTTCAATACCTGCATTAAACACACAATAAAATCAAAACTATATTAAAAAAAAATTAGAAAAACCCATAGGCGAAAATAACACTTGGCACTGGCACTGGCACTGTGACCTTAAAACTTAAACCGAAAATAAACCTCAAATCTAACAGTAAACACTAAAGGGCTATAAATTTCTAAATTCAAGAGCACAAAAAACTTATAAATGTGAAGTATAACATCAAACAAGTAGCCAAGATACATGCAGAGTTTTTTTTTTTTTTTCAATACAAACTACCCAAAATGCTTCAACTTTAAAGTTCGCAGCAACCAGGTTCACAATTTATAACAAAAGATCCAACCCTGCAGCTAAAATGCAGAACCAGAATCTTATTTTCAAAAGTGTATAAACAAGCTAAAATGCATCAAAAGAGAAAATGGCATCTGGGTCTTAAAGAGGAAGAGGACAAGAAAAAACCTGAAAGACATGCAAAGTCGAACAAAAAGAGAAACAGCAAAGTTCCCCATAGGCATTTTTGGCTGCTAAAGCCCAAAAGGGAATGGAAATGGGGTGAAATAGGAGAAGGTTTCTTTTTTTTTTTTTTAGTTTATTTAAGGGCTTGAAACTCTTTTCGGCTTTAGCTCTGCGATTTCCGTTGTCAGTTTGTTCCTTGATAAAAAAAAAAAAAAAAAAAAAAGAATTTATGAGATTTATGAATAGTGCCAGGATTGAAGTGGAAGTGTGGCACTGAATTTCTGGCCCTTGCAATGCTTAAACCCATTTTTCCTTTATTTTCTAAATTTTCATTGGTGGGCCCAAGAAAAGTTGAGCTTTTCCAGTCCAAGAAAGAGTTACGATTGTTAATTGAGATGGACATTATAGCCCAAGTTTCTATTTTTCACACTCCAAACATATGTCAGCCCAAATCAAGCCCAAAGTTTGCGTTTTTGTTTATTTTTTTCATTGCCCTTTGGTTCCTTTCATTCTTCACCACCACCACCAGTCAAAGCCGGCGACAGCACCACCACCAATCGAGGCCAAGCCTCTTCCTTTTGCGACAGCATCACCTCCAAGCTTCTTCCTCTTTTCGAGCGGGGTAGCAGATTCTTTCTCCCTTCCCCTTTCCGTCATTTTTTCCTGGACACGACATCGTTTAGAGGCATGGCTTCTCGATTATTCGCGACAGCCGCGGAGAAAATCGGGCCAGCGGCAGTGAGGCGGCAAGCCCTGTCTTTGACCGACGCAGCCGCCTACAGAATACGCCATCTTCTTCAACAGCGCCAAAGACCTTTCCTTCGATTGGGTGTCAAGGCTCGCGGATGCAACGGCTTATCCTACACCCTTAATTACGCCGGTTCGTTTCATATTGTAATCTTCCTTTTTTTATATCTATATTTCTGAAATGAATTAAAATTGATTTTTGTTGTATGGAATTGGCTGATAGATGAGAAAGGAAGGTTTGATGAGTTGGTCGAGGACAAAGGTGTGAAAATACTAATTGATCCTAAAGCTTTGATGCATGTGATTGGGACCAAGATGGATTTTGTAGATGATAAACTCAGGTATTTAAAGATTTAATCTTTTTGTAGTTTTATTTTATATGTTTGTCATATCATTTTTTTTTAATTTGGTAATTAAATTTTATGTCTTTATATGTTAAATTGGTAGTGATTAGTAAATTGAGAAATAGAAATTGGATTTAAAGCACTTATATTTGGTCAGTCATTTCTCAGGAAAATGCACCATTTAGTTGTGCTTGTATATTCTTCCTAGGCGAAAACTGGAAAGTAATTTTTTACCTTGAACCATCGCATGGGCGTTTTCAATTTGGTTTTCAGTTGTGCACCATTGCCTTTTTCCGAGCTCATAATGTCTGCTGTCACCTCTGCGGCTCTACCAGTCGATCATCATTTCTTTTGAGGTTGATAATTCATTGTTAACATGGCTGCATATTATGGCCGCTTTACCAGTCACCATCTCCACTTTCATTGTATCATTCTTATGGTTGCTTATTGTGCTTTCATAGACAAAGACAAGGCTGCGTCATCACCGCTGTCCCATTCCTGCTTACTCAACCATCTGTTGTACATTGCTAATGCTTCTGTCATCCATCTTACTAGGTTAATACCATAATTACCGTTCCTCTCTCTCTCAAAGATTGTGTGTGTGCGTGTGCGCGTGCACGCACATGCGCATGTGTCTCCAAGCATGAGTTCAAACACTTTGTAGCTGACTGTTGACACTGTCCTCTTCCCCCCTTCGACCCTTCTTAAACAATTTAGTTGGCTGATACCATACTGCAGAAAAATGATATTTCTTTTTGCATGTATGTTTACCTGAGTAGAGGTTGCTTTTGGTGGATTATCAAATGGTCCATAAACATAGGTGGTTATTGTGGGGAGTTTTTTTATTTTTTTAATTAAACACTTTAACTGGATAAAAAGTAATGCTGCACGTGGAAGCATGCAGCATGTACGGAGCTTTGATATTACCAACGTTTAACTTTATTTGATATGCGTGAAGTTTGAATGCTTTGTGTTACAGAAACTGGCTTGTATTTATCTTTTATTCTGTGCACCTCTTGTTATGAAACCGGTGCGCCTTGATTTTCTTCCAGCTTTAATTTGTAACTTCTGCACAGGTCTGAATTCATTTTTATCAACCCAAACTCTAAAGGGCAGTGTGGATGTGGTGAATCTTTCATGACAACACCTGGTAGTAGCGGCGGATCTGCTAAAAAGGGTGGTAGTTGAGGGTTTCAAAACCTTGTAATAAGATAAGATTTGAACTAACCTACTTGATTCCATGTAGTTCCTAAATTAGCCACTCAAAATAAATCATCAGGAAAAATGTTTCCGCATACCAGGTGAGCTTCTATAACAGTTGCTGCCAACTGATTGTATACTGATGGTAGTTTGGCATCTAAAAATCATTTCGTCTATACCCTCTGTATTTTGTTAATGGAATTGTTACACTACGGAAGTTCTTTTGAAATAAAAAAACTTGGAAGTACTTTTTGTATTGCAGCTAACTCGTACTTTTTGGAAATGATAGCACTTGACGTACTTTCATGAACAGTTTTTCAGTTACAACATTATAATATGATCTGGATCATGCAATGATATCTTTGCAATGCAGAGTAGTAGCACTTAGAAGCTGGGAACCTAGATTTTATGAGATGCCTGAAAAGTACCTCCAATTAAGGATTAAAGTGTCTCCAAACAACCGATTGGATACTTTTGTGCGATACTGTTTTAAATTTATCACAGCCAACAAGGCAACCTTCCCTTCTCAGGCACACAGAGAGAGAGTGTGTGTGATTATTCACAAGGATTGCAGCCAATGTAACAACAGTCAAAATTGTAAGATAAAATGCTGTCTGAGGAGTCTTAGAAAGAGTTCTATTGAATAGATTTTGTCACAGTTCGTACTCTAGGCAACAGGTATATATCTATATATATATATATATATATATATATTTATTTATTTCCTGAGTTCTCTTCATTTACAAATCTTTGAAGCTGTTTATTGCCAAGTATGCGCTGATTGTCTGCTTTACTCATGCTCCTGAAATTAAAGTGATTATTGAGTAAAGTAGACCATAACTGTTAAATGCCCTTCTCAAAATAGCAAAATCACACTATCTGTTAATTGATGAGGAGAATGGGAATTCATCATACTTTTATCTTCATGTTGCTTTCAATATTTTTTCCTTTAAAATTTTCACAAATTAAACTCTTGATAAGACAATGGTTATGAACAAACCGTTTATCTGTTCTTTTTTTCTTTTTTTGAATCCCAAGTGCCAAAGCCTATTTTCTGATCTCAAGGGTGTTGAATTATGAAAATTCTGTATAGTTTCAATCTCAAAAACTGAATATGGAAATCAACATTTATTGAGGAAAGAATTTTATCGCCCTTGGAAAACTTTGGGCCAAATTTAAGGCTGAGATAATACCAAAAAAATGGCATACCTTATGTCTGATTGGATGCAGACCTGTTAAACATAAGACCATATTTAATTCAGGCTTCAGAATTTGATTATTTATAAAAATCATATTTCCAAAAGTCTTCTTGTATTAGAATATCACTGATTTGTCTTTTTGTTTTTTTGGTAGAAATCCACTGATCTTTCTGCCATATTTTAAGGTTGATGTGCTTCAGATTGTGGTAATCAAAATTTCTCCATCCCAAACTCTTCTCCTCGCTTGCTTTTAGGTCATTGGTAGTAGAGAGCTTCCATCACCAATGCCTGAAAATTCCATGGATTTTTCATTTAATTTGTATCATAAATGCAAGTGGTACGAGATGATCAGGAAATAAGAGAAACAACTCAACTAATTACCTTGCTCATCTTCATGTGATTCACAGTGGACAACTCAGGTTTCGTCTCATTATTCTTGGTTTCTCCTTAGCTTTCTGGGCTTTGGTTTGAGTTCTCATCTTCCATTCCTCAAAGTACTTCAAGAAAAAGTACACCAAATTAGGAGGAACAAAGCAAAAACTGAATCATTTGCAGAATTTACAAATTAAATGGGTGTATATTGCCATCAATGCTTGGATTTTCCACTCTTATGTGCCAGAAATTATATGGCTATTCTTAGCAAAATAGAAACCTACAATGCTCTGGGAATCAGTTAGATGATTTACTTGTTGCTTTCTTTTTCTCTCGAGTTCTGCCTGTTAAGATGCAAAGTAAAATGAGATAAGTTGTTCATATAACAGATGATGAAAGCTACATGAAGACTCAGCAATTTGACGAAAATGAACAAAAGCAACAACGATATGTTACCAGAGCCTGCTTAAGGTGGGCATTCTCTTGTTTCAATTGGTTCAATTCTGCTTCTAGCTCAACTGTATATGCCTGTAAAATCAAGCCAACCTTGTAAGGATGGGTACTTTCAAAGTACCACTAATTAATTTCTCCAAAAATATATTGCTGATATAGCAAAAACTTGAAATTATTGATCACATGAGTTAATTTCCATTTCTTAGCTTAATATCCATTTTCTTAATAATATGGCTAATTGCTAATGTAGAAACTAGTAATGGAAACACGTCCATTCTTGTAAAAGTTAGGCCTAGACACTAGAAATTTCCCCACCAGGCACCAGTAAAGTTCTGACAATGCAAGGTAAAAACCCTAGGGAAGCAAAACAATATATGTAACTCAAACAGTATTTCGCAAATATATGCATTTACTTCAGAAAAAAGCATAACTATCAATTCAATACAAGTAGTAGTACCTGTTTTCTAGCTCTAGACCTTGCAGCTGACTCCCTATTCTTAATCATCCTTCGTTGCCTTCTCTCAACGACCTTCTCCATCGGACCATCAATGATCCTTTTCCTTCCTCGGAGTCCACCCATCTCCATCCCAAATTGAGTAGCTTTATTATCGACTTGATTGGTACACATTCCTTTTGATGATACAGGACTCATTGGTGACACTACTCCCATTGGCTGTCCAGGTCCATAGCCACCAGCAGCAGCAGCTATCTTCCCATTATAACAAACTGCTGTAGGTGGCGGGGCAGCTGGCTGGTAGCCACCACCTCTCTTAACATCATTAACATACCCTGATGACTCACCAAAGACTCCACCAGGATGCATTGTCTGGTATGGACTCCCACCAAAAGCACCACTGCTACCCATTCCCATAATAGGCCTGGAACCAAAACCTCGACCCACCGCAGGGTTATTACTATTCTGATACAACCCATATCGTGGCTGATGCTGCGGAGGCGGTACTGCTGTTGGCACGCAATGTTCCCTGACTACCCCTGCCTTAATCAAGAAATCCTCCAAGGTCATCTCCCCAAAAGTTGGCTGCCGAGTGGAGTTCTCAGCACTCTGTACATTGCTATTATTATTCTGTCCTTGTCCTTGCTGCCCTCCACGTATCTCAGACCAAACTTCATCAACAGTCTTCCTACACAACGGTGGAGGAAGTGTAAGCGAGCCTTGCCTCGGGAGGCTAGGCTGCTTTGCTATGCCTTTACTGCTTGCTGCTTCATTCAAAGACAAATGAACATGGCTGCTAACTTGTTTATTTGCACAGTCGTTCTGATGATTGTTATTGTTGGAGTTGATAGCTTGGTTTTCCTCAGCGTTCCAGATGTTGGTGAGGAATTCGTCCATGTTCATGGACCCGAAGTTCTTCCTACCCTCACATAGAGTGTTCTGGAACTCATCAAGAGTGAGAGAATAGATTGAGGATTGTCTTCCAAGGGCAAAGAAATGGTGGCTCTTCTCCTGCTGATCCACCACCTGCGAGGGTGACTCAACCTCAGACTCTGTAGCCACCATCTTTGCAATGAAAGCTGTGAAGCTATAGCTCTTTGATACTGATTGATATGGAAACACCAATTACCTGTTTGTAAACAAAGAGAAGAAAATTGGACGGACTATTAGGTTCAGCAAGAAGAACGTAATAAAACAAAGGAGGAGACCATGAAAATCTTGTTTAAACATTTTCCACTACCATGCCAATAAAATGAGATGACAACTGACAGATTAGTTTTGCAGCGGATTGTTACAGGTGGGGTCCAAGCCTGATTCCTGAAAATGAACCCTACCTTTAAGCAAGGGAAAGGAAACAAATTGAAGTTACAAAATTTTGGGGAAAAAATTTTTACAAAAGGGTACATTACATTTGATTTACCTTATAAGTCTATAATAAATCAAAGCAAATACGCTGTAAGTTCCTAAAGTCTAACGTTGTATCAATGCAACAGGACAACAGTATGTTGAAAATAATGATGAAAACTTATGGCGTATATATATATATTAAATTCAGTAAAGATAATGAAATAATTGAGATTTTTAATTATTTTAAAAAAAGAATAAAAGCGTCTAAAGTGGCTGCAACAGTGGGAATCTATATCCTATCTTGTTTTGTTTCCTCACCACATCATCCACAAATTAAAATAAAAAAAATATACTATGTCTATCATGGCAGAAGATTGGACAGGTGCTTTGGTACTTCTTCCATATTCCTTTTAGCCTTGTTACTGATACGACCCGTTCAGATTGTCGAAATTTTTTTTTAAAAGCTGACGTGGATCAACCAGAGCCACATGATGACTGAAAAATATATGAATGCTTAGTGCAAATTGTATTTGTTTGTTTTTAATTAAAACTGATATGATTAGTGGAAAAGGCCAAAAAATCAATCTGCCAAAAAACTTTAACAGAAAATAAAAAAGAAAAAATGATTCTGTTCCTTAAAGTGGAATATTGATATGGATGGCCGAGAAGGAAATGCAAAAGAACCTTTCCTATTATGGAAAACATGATAGAAGCTATAAATTAATTAAGTGCCACTAAATTAAAATAAAAAATTTTTTGTTAAATTCAAAAACATTTTTTTTCTTAACTTCTCTCATAAGGGATTAGAAAACTAGAATACTGGATTAAAGGAAAATTATAAAAAAAAAAAAAACAAGAAAGGTTGGTCAAACTATCAAAGCTACATATGCCTACTATGCTCCACGAGTAAAGATCGGGACGGAGCAGGTTTTTCTTATCCTGACTCCGAAAATCAACCTCCAACTTAATTTTCTAAAATAAATATTTGATTTCAACCAATTGAATATTAAAATATTATTTTTTTGTATTCAACCCAATTTGTATATATAAAGTTATAATTTATTCGATCTAAAATTAATTTAATAATTTTAATTTATTATAATATTCATAAAATATTTTTTAATATAAATTATATTTTAATTATACATAAATTTTTATTAAATTAATACAATAAATTAAAGTATTACATAATAATTTTATTAATATAATATATATAAATTAAATAATTAATTAATTAAAAATATTATATATATAACACCAATTGGCTTTTTTTGAAAAAGGAAAAATCTTATAAGGTCGAATGCAGTCAATATTTGCCACTAATCCATGATGGTTTGGATGGCCCAAGACAGGAGCTAATAGGTATAGATGCCGGGGGTTGATGGCTAATTTAATTGATAAATTAATTATTCTTTTGACAATTATGTTACATTAAAGTTGTAAACAAAGAAGAAAGGGACGAGTTATTTAAAATAAAAAAATTTTAAAATACAAAAGTGATTACAAGAAACAATTAATATAAAATTTGAATTAAAAATAAAAATATTATACAAGTAAGAGGAATTAAAGGTTAAGATATAGAAGTTAATGAACTAATTATAGTATAAGAAAGAAATAATGTCTTAGTTATGACATTAGTTTAATGTAACACTGAACCTTATTAAGTACAAAACAAATGCATGGATGTACAAAACACATGCATGGATGGGTCATAGAACATATAAGCTTCAAAGCATGCAAACAAGATTGTTTCAGATCTAAAACCTTAATCAGTAGAACATCAAAAAATAAGACAGGACAAAAAGAAAGAAAGAAAGGAACCCCATTCACAGTACATTTCACCTTGAATTATATAGAATCCTTGAACCATAAAAAAGACTGAAAAATCAAATAGTATATATATGACATACCTGATTCCAACAAGGAAGAAGAAGATAATTCAGCTGAAAATTGCTATTGGGAGTTTTAACAATCCAGGGTTTAGTTTGTCAAGATTTATCAAACCAACATTAAGTAACTTTGTCAAGCTTTATCATACTGTACATATATATTTGTATCTAATCATATCATGAAATAATGATCAGAAAAAGATCAGTTGCAGATGAGAAAATGGGAGGGGTTGGTTGAAGAAAATGTTAGGGCCTACAAACAAAGATGTAGTGAGAGCAAAAGTGTTCAAGTTGCCGGCGGAATCGGGGGTCCAAAAGCAGGTTACAAAGTCAATTGTAAATTGCAATCAACCCTACGCACGAAGTTGAGAATAAGAAAATGGTAAGGGGCTAGCTCTGCTTGACACGTTTGGACCACGTGGCTTGCTCCGCCTTGCTTTGCTGCTCTTTGCTTAACGCGTGTGCTGCTCCTCTTTGCTCATCATTCATCGACGGGAACCCCCACATGCAAAGCTAAGCTCCCATTCTCCCACTGCTTTGCTTGACAATACTGGTAATAAAATAATCTTCTTTGTTTGTAAGAAATACATTTTTAAAATTGTCAAAAAAAAAAAAAACCTTTCATGTTACAGCATTTATTATAGATTTCAACATAAAAATATATTGGGTTAATTTCTCTCAAGGAATAAAACCTGTATATTAATATAATAAAACGTATTTAAGAGTTAAAATTTAGTAAAACTTTTAATTTAATTACACTTTTCTTAATTATCACTAGATAATAATTAATATTTTCCTTATGGAATTAATTAATGTTAAGTTAACAACTAATCTCCCCGAGACTTTTGGATAATTTTATAATTAATTAAGATATTTCAACATCAAATACTTGGGACGAAGGAAGAAACAATGGTAAAAAAAATTAAGGTGTGAGCAACATATAGCCAATGTTCTCCCCGTATATATAAAGTTATGGTTGGGGCATCTGACGCACGTGCAGTTTTGTTCCTTAGATTCTGCGTGATTGATGAATTTGGTTGGCTTTAGATTTATGCTCGTTTGTTTCGATGGATTCATTGGAAACCGCTGTATGGAAAAATCCGAAGCCCGCTGTTTTGGGTTGCTGTCATCATTATTCATCACCCTTCCAAGTTCCATGCATCCTTTGCATTTACTCTTATTTCTTTGGCATCTTCTTTCCATGAAAAGAATGAGGAAATTTTATATATATTCCATTTCACTAATTTGACCAATTTCCTTTTTTATTTCTTTATTTTGAGAAATGGTGATTTTCGAGTTCAATTTTTTATAAACAATAAAATAATGCATTTAAAACGAAGTAATTCAAGCTTTTTCCATTTTATTTTATATGAATTTTACTAGAAGGGGAAGATCAAGGGGTGATCATTAATGCAAATTGGGAGTTTGTTTATATCAACTAGTTCGTCTAAATCCGAGTGGTTAAGAAGTTCGATTCTTCCTAAATAAAATTTCGATTTTGAGTTTTGTAAATGAAAAAAATAAATTCTTTGAAAAGAGCTTACCCATTTTATAAGATTCAATTCGATTCGATTTTAAATTAATTAGAGTTCAAAATAATTACCGAATATCGAAAAATCTCATATCAAGATAAAAAAAAATATATTTATATTATATATATGTATACGTATATGTGAATATTAGTTATATAAGATTTTTTTAATTATTATAATTTTAAAAATGATGCGTATCGTTCCTAGGGAAAAAAAAACTTAGATAGTTTTTTCTTTTAATTAATTTTTTTAATTTTTATAGGTTAGGAGGAAAATATATATTTTTTAATTTTGGTGCAAGAATTAGAACTTAATACATCTACGGCGGTTGGTGAATGTAGAAATATATAGCTAGCTGTCATGTTTATTTTAATAAATTTAAGCTAAGAATTGATGAAACTGAATTAATGAATTCTAAATTTCTAACAACGTTTGACCAAAAAAATTAACAACCCAAACTGTATGTCTTAAAAATTATAGGTACCTTCAAAACAAATATATATTTTTTTTTTCGAGAACAAATATTAATCCCTTATTATTTGTTATTTCCTAGTTGTCTAAAAAAAAAAATTTCTGTAGATTGTGGCCTGTGGGGCACAATAATTGGGTGGGTAATCTCAAGTTCGTTTTGGGGCTTGAAATTTAAGATGGTATATTTAAAGGCCTTTGGAAAGCACTTAGGCCCAATTAGGCCATCAAGGGCCAATTACTGTGAAAACCATGCGATTTGCTTCACAAATTGAGGTATAACATGATTTCTACCCAATGAGTTCTCATCATGCGTAAGATTTATTTTTTTTTTGGCCAAAATTATCTGTAAGATTCACATTTGAAAATATTTATTATGGCAAAAAAAAAATGAAAATATATAATTATATATTCAGATCAAACATATAATTTCCCATTCATTTACTCTCAATCTCTAACATGATATATGAAGTCCAATTCATGAAGATTTTTTGGGTTGTTGTCTAATTTGTTCTCCAAATTATATCACTTTTGTTAATTTAGTACTCATAAAAAATTTGTAATTAAATATCTCAACTTTTATTTCGTGGAACAATGATATTAGTCAAAATACTAAAGAATATCTATCAATAAAAATTCACTATGAATCATGTTATTATTTTTAAAAAAATTAAAAATAAGATTTAATTTTTTTTGTTAAAATTTATTTTTGAAATTTTACTTTCTAAATTAAATAATAAAAACTAGAAATTTTTTTTAAAAAAATTACTTTTAATTTTTAAATAAAATTGAAAGAGAAAGGATCCATTTATACTAATATAAGTGTTATAGATAAAAATATTTTAAAAAATTACTAATAAAAATAAGGCAGGAAGCTAACTTGATCTCTGTCCTAGTGTCCTTTAATGGAGGGGGCTCATTACTCTTTGCTCACCTCATGGCTACGCCATCACCGGCTGGAAGATAAGGGAGGGCGAGGGGGGGCTGGCAAGGAGAAGAACAGTTGATGATAGTTCAATCACCTATTGCCTGCGTGCAGTTTTGTTTGATTGAAAATCAACACAACCTTAATCACCAATCTATAGGATATCATATTAATGATTCTGTCGTCTTAAAAATAGTCTCAGA